GGATTCTCTGCCTCTGACCCTATTACGGGGGCTGAGTCACTGGCTTACTGGTGCTTTCCAGACCGTCCCTAGGAGGGGTGCATCACTTGAGTGGGTTGAGTCACTGACGTGATCTTCCTGTCCGGTTTGTCGCCCCTTCGGGCTTGTGCAGTGGAGGAGATCTTTGTGGGCTATACTCAGCCTTGTCTCAGGGTAGTAGGTTGTGGTCTGTTGATATACCTCTGGTGGTGTGGGGGCTGTGATTTGGCAAAGTGGGTGGGGTTATATCCTGCCTGGTTGGCCCTGTCCGGGGGTTTCGTCAGACGGGGCCACAGTGTCTCCCGATCCCCCCTGTCTCAGCCTCCAGTATCTATGCTGAAATAGTCTATGTGCCGGGGGGCTAGGGTCAGTCTGTTATATCTGGTGTTATTCTCCTGTCTTATCCGGTGTCCTGTGTGAATTTAAGTATGCTCCCTCTAATTCTCTCTCTCTCCCATCCCGGAGGACCTGAGCCCTAGGACCATGCCTCAGGACTACCTGGCCTGATGACTCCTTGCTGTCCCCAATCCACCTGGTCGTGCTGCTGCTCCAGTTTCCACTCTTCTGCCTGCGGCTATGGAACCCTGACCTGTTCACCGGACGTGCTACCTTGTCGCAGACCTGCTGTTTTCAACTTTCTCTCTCTACCGCACCTGCTATTTCAACCACTAAATGGCCGGCTATGAAAAGCCAAGTGACATTTAATCCTGATGTACGGACCTGTTGCAACCTCTACAACCACTGTGATTATTATTTGACCATGCTAGTCATCTATGAACGTTTTAACATCTTGGAGAAAAATCTGGCCTTAATGGCCATGTACTGTAATAATCTCCACCCGGCACAGCCAGAAAGGGACTGGCCACCCCTCAGAGCCTGGTTCATCTCTAGGTTTCTTCCTAGGTTTCTGCCTTTCTAGGGAGTTTTTCCTAGCCACTGTGCTTCTACATCTGCATTGCTTGCTGTTTGGGGTTTTAGGCTGGGTTTCTGTATAGCACTTTGTGACATCTGCTGATGTAAAAAGGGCTTTATAAATAAATGTGATTGATTGACTGATTAAAGGGTGTCTTTTGGGACTGTCTTGTCTACATTTCCTATAAGAGCTCTTCTTTCAGTACTGTCCCTATGGTACTGTATTATGATCAATATTAGCAACCATAAAAGGCAGGGGCGCAATTTTGGTTTTAGAATTGTGGGGGACATAACCTGGCGGGGGGTCTGGTGGTCCTCCCTCTGAATTGTTTGGGTTATCTTAAGCTCATTTCCTGCTTTTCTACACAATCTAAAATTACCCTTTTGGAGTTATTTTGGGATCACTTGTATTGTAAATAAGAATAGAATATGTTTCTAAACACTTATACGTTAATGTGGATGCTATCATGCTTACGGATAATCCTGAATGAATCGTGAATAATGATTAGTGCGAAAGTTATAGACATATATATAATAGCGAGTGGCGCAGCGGTCTAAGTGCTTGAGGCGTCACTACAGACCCCCTGGTTCAATTCCAGGCTGTATCACAACTGGCCTTAATTGGGAGTCCCATAGGGCGGCGCACAATTGGCCCAGCGTCGTCCGGTTTGGCCGGTGTAGGCCGTCATTGTAAATAAGAATTTGTTCTTAACTGACTTGCCTAGTTAAATAAAGGTACAATTAAAAATTAAAAATACCCCTCCAAAAATGCTAACCTCCCCTGTTATTGTAATGGTGAGAGGTTAGCATGGGTTGGGGGTATGATATTTGTGCGTTTAACTTGTATTATTCATGATTCATTGAGGATTATCCGTAATCATGGTAGCATCCACATTAATGTAGAAGTGTTTAGAAACATGTTATTTTCTTATACAATAAAAGTGACTTCAAAATGACACAATACCTTATTTATCATTCATTTCTATTGGCCACAAAATAATCTGAAACACAACCAAAACAAACAGCAAATGCATCCAACAAATTTGGAGAGTCACAAGCTTGATATAGTCATTGCGTGCTATGAATGTGGGACCAAATACTTAACTTTTTGCTACTTTAATACACATACAAGTGAATTTGTCCCAATACTTTTGCTCCCCTAAAATGGGGGGACTATGTACAAAAAGTACTGTGATTTCTAAACAGTTCACCCGACATGTATGAAAATACCCTCAAATTAAAGCTGACAGTGTGCACTTTAACTTCGTAGTCATTGTTTGATTTAAAATCCCAACTTTTGGAGTATTGAGCCAAAAGAAGAGAAAATGCTTCACTGTCCCAATAATTGCGGAGGGCACTGTAATTCAAATCACAGGCCTAATAGTACTGTAGAGCTGTTTTTACTTGCACACAATATAGCTGGATTGCCCCGTCCTGCCCCTAGGGGTCCACCGCTCTGCAGCGCCCCAATCCAACACACCCCACTCAGCTTTAGGATCTTAGTGAAACGTTCATTAAGGCCAGAGTGACAACCAACAGTACGGCAGACCCCCCAGGGCCAGGACTGAGCAGCCCAGCAGCTTAGGTATCTCCCCTGATGTGGGCATGTTTTCAATACAGATTCCTTTTGTCATACATTATTCCATATAAGGCATCCAGACCTTATGAAAGTTGCACAGTATACCTTTAATCTTGTAATAAATAAAATCTAGTGATACATAACTTGACATTTCTTGCATCCATTGTGACATTGTGGGAGGATAACCAACCTTCCATTTAATGGCAATACATTTCTTAGCCGCTATAAATGCTAGGTTACACAGTTTCTTCTGATAACAGTCTTCAGTATCAACATTTCCAAGTAAACAAACACAGGGAGAAGGGAGAATCTGTAGACATGTTGAGATAAAATAACATACTCTTTGCCAGAATTCAGCCAGCCTTCACAAGAGCATAACATATGCAAATATGTCCCCTTTTGTGTTATACACCTCCAGCAGAGGAATTACATTATATTCATGTTCACTGGTATATAGTACGTTCTATGGATGGTCTTAAACTGCAGTAATTTATGTCCGAGATTATATGAACATGACTGGGCATCAGGAAAAGTCTCTATATATCAACCAATGATACAGTTTGTAACTCAACTGTATAGGTTTGTCAGACTGTCATAATTTCAATCTTTGAAGCTTTGTTTGCTGCACAGACAGAATAAAGTGTTGCATCTGCGAAAGTTCACCTCAGCGCCTTCACAGACTGGTCTTCCCTGGTTGCCTGATCCTGCTGAGACCCCTGTCACCATCTGATCAAATCAAATCAAATCAAATCCAATTTTATTGGTCACATGCGCCGAATACAACAGGTGCAGACATTACAGTGAAATGCTTACTTACAGCCCTTAACGAACAGTGCATTTATTTTAAACAAAAAAAGTAAGAATAAAACAACAACAAAAAAAGTGTTGAGAAAAAAAGAGCAGAAGTAAAATAAAGTGACAGTAGGGAGGCTATATATACAGGGGGGTACCGTTGCAGAGTCAATGTGCGGGGGCACCGGCTAGTTGAGGTAGTTGAGGTAATATGTACATGTGGGTAGAGTTAAAGTGACTATGCATAAATACTTAACAGAGTAGCAGCAGCGTAAAAAGGATGGGGTGGGGGGGCAGTGCAAATAGTCCGGGTAGCCATGATTAGCTGTTCAGGAGTCTTATGGCTTGGGGGTAGAAGCTGTTGAGAAGTCTTTTGGACCTAGACTTGGCACTCCGGTACCGCTTGCCGTGCGGTAGCAGAGAGAACTGTCTATGACTAGGGTGGCTGGAGTCTTTGACAATTTTGAGGGCCTTCCTCTGACACCGCCTGGTATAGAGGTCCTGGATGGCAGGAAGCTTTGCCCCAGTGATGTACTGGGCCGTACGCACTACCCTCTGTAGTGCCTTGCGGTCAGAGGCCAAGCAGTTGCCATACCAGGCGGTGATGCAACCAGTCAGGATGCTCTTGATGGTGCAGCTGTAGAATTTTTTGAGGATCTGAGGACCCATGCCAAATCTTTTTAGTCTCCTGAGGGGGAATAGGCTTTGTCGTGCCCTCTTCACGACTGTCTTGGTGTGTTTGGACCATGATAGTTCGTTGGTGATGTGGACACCAAGGAACTTGAAGCTCTCAACCTGTTCCACTGTTCCATCTGATCCTGCTCAGATGAGGCATGACAAAGAAGTACCTTGGTGTACATTTATACATTATATTATCCAAGAATAGAGTCAATGGTTCAATAATGATGAAATGACCATTATTCCAAGATCCCAGACTGTAGCCTACCCATCAACTCAAGATTGAAACTTTGTATCCATTCATTGGTTGTTATAATACACTACAAAATTCACCTGAGCTCCGTAGACTGGCCTTCCCTGGCTGTCTGACCCTGCTGGGACACCTGTCACCATCTGATCCTGCTAAGACGATAAGAATAGTGTTGTGTACTGACTGTGCACCATGACAGTGAAGCCTGTAGAGTTGTTTACATCATGTCAGTGTGAAAAGTAGGGAATTAGCTAGGGAAACTGTCAGATCAGTAACGTTACATTGCTATTTTTGACTAATAAAAACTCACAATGTGCTGTCAAAAAACATCAGAATGTCGGTCTTCAATCGTTTGGCCGCTGGTTTCATTGTTTGATTCAGGTCTAGTGGGATTGAGGCAAAAATAATAACTAAAGTTAGTGAAAACTAGCCTAGTTAATTTACTTCTGTTGAAGCAGGACAAAACAAAGGCTACAAAACATTTCCATACACACAAGAGCTGTTAGATACTGCTGCCTGACAGATAGCTAGAGGCTAGAGCTGAACTGGCTGTGGTAGCTAATAGCTAGCTAGATCATTCACTTCAGACAGAACTTCAGTCGAGAGGGGATGAAACATGTAATGCATTAGCTAACATTACATGTCAGTTACAGTACATGCCACCACTAACTTTTTTTCTGTTGAGTCAAACAGCAGTTACCTTGCCAGCGACATCAGTCAAATAAAGAGTAGCCAGTTTCTGCTCTACTTGCTTTTACAACTCGGAGAAAAATGTCCCCCCCCCCGTCCCCAGTGAAAGTTGCGCCTCTGATAAAAGGCCTTCCTTATATTTTCTGTTTGTTTTTTTTGTCTTCAGATGACACCCGGCTGCGGTTCAGCAGTGGTCGTGTTGCGGTCACTCTGGGCAGTCTTCTGGACGACCAGCACTGGCACTCTGTCCTCATCGAGCGCTTCAACAAGCAGGTCAACCTCACAGTGGACAGCCACACACAGCACTTCAGGACCAAGGGGGAAGGAGACTCTCTGGAGGTGGACTATGAGGTGTGTCTATCCAAACATCCATCATATTTCCTTACAGTAGGTCTGAGTAGATTACACCACCAGCATCCAGTCAGAAAAACACTTTAACCCGATACCAGGGTGAGATTAACAATAATACTTGGTCTATCTCGTTAGAACCTGACATCTCTTTTCAACCTGACACCTGACACTATACTTTCATAGGACTTTTCTTCTATTACTTTCTAACATGTCTATATTTCACCTTCTTTCCTTATAAAAGCTCAGCTTTGGGGGCATCCCACTGCCAGGTAAGCCTGGCACCTTCCTGAGGAAGAACTTCCATGGTTGCATCGAGAACCTCTACTACAACGGGATCAACATAATTGACCTAGCCAAGCGACGCAAGCCTCAGATCTACAGTGTGGTATTAGCTTTTCAGCTACTCATTTTGAATGCTTAAACTGTAGGCCAAGGCCAAGTTTATTTTGCACTGCATTACCAATATATTAACTTATGTAAATGATAATGCTCCATTGTGTTAGAAGTGAAGGTTAACAACACCTAACCTTAGAGAACTAGAGAACCATAACAGTTGTTGCGTACAAAATACAGACTGTGGATAGGGTTCCATGGGAATACAGGGTGCATGGCAAGAACCCCTTAGAGCTGATAGTCTTCTATTTTCTTCTCTTGTTCTTATTTTGGAAAGAGATCAGGGCTCAGTGATGAGGTGGACCAGGAGCTGTATTCAGTGATCCATTCAATATAGAGGTATTATTACCTCCTGTAGCCAGAGGTAAATTGCATTATTTAAGATAGTCCTCTCAGAGATGTCAGGGCCTTATGCAGCCCCTAAATGATACATCTTCATGGATATTAACCTTGAGAAACCTTCTGTCTCAGTGGTCTTGCAGCCCCAAAAACAAGGGGCGTGATGCACAACGGGTGTCACCCAACCTCTAACAACAAATCCGCTAACACTGAAATAGCATTAGTATGAATAAGTTATCAATGATTCTGTGTGAGTTAGTGTCAGCCTATTGAAATAGAATGATACTGAAATCAAGTTTGGTGGATTTGATGGAAGAGTCCCTGTGGAGGGTTTAGTTAACATGCTCCATGTCGCTGCCACTCCATGTCACCAGGATCGATTATGTGTTCATCCCCACACTGCTCTGACCTTTTCCTGTGTACAGGAACTCATGTCCTCTGTACTGACTCTTCCTGTCCCTAGGAGTCACAGTGGGGTTGGCAGTGATATTTAACCTAGCTCCCTGCAGAGTTGATTTTATCTCATTCCCCTGTTCTCTCTATTGTGTTCTCTCTCTCTCTCTCTCTCTCTTTTGATTTTGTCTCATACTTTGTCTCTTTCTCGCTCTCGATACTGTACCCACCATTCTCTTTCTCTCTTTCTAGAAAGGGGGCCAGTAAGGAGTTCATTAATAACAGCACTACGCGTACAGAGTTGACATAATTTTTAATTAACCCTAAATGTTGAAAGTTGATCTTGATCGGGGCAAGGTGACTGTAAGACTGAGTGTTCTATGTGTGTCTCCAGGGCAACGTGACCTTCTCATGCTCGCAGCCCCAGCTGGTGTCCACCACATTCCTGAGCTCCAGCAGCAGCTTCCTGTCGCTCCCAGCCACGCCGTCTGCTTCAGGGGGCTTCACGGTGCGTTTCCAGTTCAGAACATGGAACCCAGACGGGCTACTGCTCTTCACACAGCTGGCCCTGGAGCCCCAGAGACTGGAGCTGCAGATAAGCAACAGCCGGCTGCGCCTGACCCATCACAAGTCAGCCCAGCAGAAAGAAGAGGTCTCCACCGGTGAGGGCCAGGCCAACAGCCTCTAGCTTAGCTGACCCACACTATGGGCTGGAATCAGTGGTTCTGCCTATGGGGACTCAAGTGAAGCAGGCAGACAATGAGAAACCCATTTTATTACTGCAGAGAATGTTTGTGGTTTTACACACAGATAGTCTGATAGTGATAGTAAAGATTATGAGTAAAGATTATAAGAAGAGAGAATCAATTCAGTTGGACCTGTGCTTATCTCATTTTGAGTTCACAAACCAGACCTGGGTTCAAATACGTGTTCTTGAGTATTTCATATTTTCAAATACACAGCCCAAAACAAGTACTTTTATTTGTGAATTTGAATGGTTATTTGTAAAAACCAAATAGTCAACCAAATTGTATTTGAATGTTTTTTTTAAATATACTTATTTAAAATACTAATGTCAAATACCTGTGTTAAATGCATGGGAGTGTATTTGAGTCAGTGTATTTGAGTATTTTCAAATACTTACCAAGTGTATTTCCAAATTCATTGCAATATTCATCTTCTTGTATACATGATATCATAGGAAAACGTCATTGTGGCACGTTTTTGCAAAAGAATTTAAATGTCACAGTAGCTGATGTTTTTCTCAATACATTGCCATCAATGGTAAAAGGTGAGTGTTACATGGTAGTGATGCGCAGGTTGACTCATAGGCCTTAACCCTAACCCTAGCTTCATGTCCACTCCCAGCTCAACCCTTACCCTATCGTAACTGCAGTGGCGGTCGGTGCCTTTTAAGATCAGGGAGGACAATATTTTTTTTTCATGAGCATGGCTTTATTTCTATTTCAGTATATTAGATGACTGTCATTCATATTCCACCCAGCTCAATGTAACATTGGCTACCTCATGATACTTACATTTTCCCTATATCCACCAAGAAGTTGCTATAACCTAGCCTATGAACTAAAGTTTACAACATAGGTGCACAGGTAGAGATAAAAATGAGAGTAATCAAGGTGATAGACAGTGATACATTCAATACCACCTTGCGCACTCTTGCCTGCATCTAGCTGATCTAGGGTGTAATCATTAGTCCAACAGTTGCAAATGATAGTTTCTATTGGACAGATTCAGGTATGTTTATCCCCGTTTAGTACCTTTTGCTTCTGCTTAAGAAACTTTTTTCAACAGAATCGGCTAGGGCTGACCCCATTTATCATAACCACTAACCGGTACACACAGCCTACATCGTTGTAACCATATTAGCTAATGTCATAGTCAACATAGCTACTAGAGCTAACACATTAGTAAACCCACTACAATCATGCAGTACAGTGTACAGTCAGCAAGCAGTTTAGCAGTTACACCGGCGGGCCCCGGTTGCAATAAATTAATAAAACCATTTGATTGGGTGGACAACATGTCAGTTTATGCTGCAAGAGCTCTGATAGGTTGGAGGACGTCCTCCGGAAGTTGTCATAATTACTGTGTATGTCGATGGAACGGGATGAGAACCATGAGCCTCCTAGGTTTTGTATTGAAGTCAATGTACCCAAGATGGCGTAGCAGTGCGGTCGCTTTTATTCATTGTCCCTGTGTAAATATCCCGTTTCTAGTTTTTTTGTCTATTTTGTATATATTTCTCAATTTTTACTTTTCATTCTTTAACTAAATATACTTTCCTGCAACCCGCCTCACCCAACGTGGAAAGGATTCTATTATTTCTTTATAACTTTCATCAAGAACCGTAAGCTGAAAATAGTTGTAGCTGCAACTGAATGGCTACTTACTATTAGTCACCGTTAGCGTCTTCACCACTGTCCGTGGCCTACACTATCCACCAGCCAGCTCTAGCTCTAGCCTGGACAATTCGTCGGCCAGTCTGCACAGCGTGCTATCGACCCAGCGTGCTATCGACCCAGAGCTTATTGGACTTTCTGCCGGAATCACTGGACCCTAGCGCCGGATCATCGCAACCAGCTAGCTAGCTGCAACCTGTTGTTGGCTGATTACCATTGCCCTATAGCAAGCACCAGTTAGCCTTGAGCTAGCCTCAGGCCCATCTCCCGGCTATCTACCTCTCTGTCAACCGGACGGGACCTCCTAGTGTTGACACTGAGCCCCGCCGATCCAACACGACTGGTCTGCCGACGAAATAGTCTGATGTGGTTTCAACAGGCTACCCATTGCGACGACCACGAAGATCCATCTGCCAGCCCCGGCCCGCTAGCACACGCAAACTACAACTGTGCTCCCTGCTAGCTGTGCTGAAGCACCAATTTGAACTGCTCTCGGACTCACATATTGCTGTTCACTGGACCTTATGATCACTCAGCTGCACAGCTGATGCCTGCTGGACTGTTCCTTTACACGGTACCCTGTCCTGTTTATTCTGTTTAGCCTTAGCCCAAACGTTATCGCTATTTCCAGTTGTTGTCTTAGCTCTCTCTAATAACACCTGTGACTGCTTTATGCCTCTCTCCCATGTCAATTATGCCTTGCCTATTGCTGTTTGGGTTGGTTCTTATTATACAATTTCACTGTAGAACCCCTAGTCCCTCTCAAACTGCCTCAAATAGTTCCTTTGTTCCACCCCCCATACACGCCGAGACCGGCTCAATCGGTGCCTCCAGTGACGCTATCTCTTTCATTGTTACCCAACGCTTAGGGTTACCTGAACTGTACTCATATCCTTCCATATCCTTTTCTGTACATAATGCCCTGAATCTTTTCTACAACGCCCGGAGAACTGCACCCTTTTTTCTATGTACCCAACGCACTAGAAGACCAGTTCTTAAAGCCTTTAGTCGTATCCTTATTCTAGTCCTCCTCTGTTCCTCTGGTGATGTAGAGGCTAACCCAGGCCCTGCAGCCCCCAGTATCACTCCTACTCCCCAGGAGCTATCATTTGTTGACTTTTGTAACCGTAAAAGTCTTGGTTTTCTGCACGTAAATATCAGAAGCCTCCTTCCTAAGTTTGAGTTATTCACTGCGTTAGCACACTCCGCCAACCCTGATGTTCTAGCAGTGTCTGAATCCTGGCTTAGGAAGGCCACCAAAAATTCTGAAATTTCCATCCCCAACTATAACATTTTCCGTCTAGATAGAACTGCCAAAGGGGGTGGAGTTGCAATCTACTGTAGAGATAGCCTGCAGTGCTCTATCATACTATCCAGGTCTGTGCCCAAACAGTTTGAGCTTCTACTTCTAAAAATCCACCTTTCCAGAAATAAATCTCTCACTGTTGCCGCTTGCTACAGACCCCCCTCAGCCCCCAGCTGTGCCCTGGACACCATATGTGAATTAATTGCCCCCCATCTATCCTCAGAGTTCGTACTGCTTGGTGACCTAAACTGGGATATGCTTAACACCCCGGCCATCCTACAATCTAAACTAGATGCCCTCAATCTCACACAAATTATCAACGAACCTACCAGGTACAACCCTAAATCCGTAAACATGGGTACCCTCATAGATATCATCCTGACTAACTTACCCTCTAAATACACCTCCGCTGTCTTCAACCAGGATCTCAGCGATCACTGCCTTATTGCCTGCGTCCGTAACGGGTCCGCGGTCAAACGACCACCCCTCATCACTGTCAAACGCTCCCAAAAACACTTCAGCGAGCAGGCCTTCCTAATTGACCTGGCCCAGGTATCCTGGATGGATATAGATCTCATTCGGTCAGTAGAGGATGCCTGGTTGTTCTTTAAAAGTAATTTCCTCTCAATCTTAAATAAACATGCCCCATTCAAAAAATACAGAACTAAGAACAGATATAGCCCCTGGTTCTCCTCAGACTTGACTGCCCTTGACCAGCACAAAAACATCCTGTGGCGTACTGCATTAGCATCAAATAGCCCCCGCGATATGCAACTTTTCAGGGAAGTTAGGAACCAATATACACAAGCAGTTAGGAAAGCAAAAGCTAACTTTTTCAAACAGAAATTTGCTTCCTGTAGCACTAACTCCAAAAAGTTTTGGGACACTGTAAAGTCCATGGAAAATAAGAGCACTTCCTCCCAGCTGCCCACTGCACTGAGGCTAGGAAACACTATCACCACCGATAAATCTACAATAATCGAGAATTTCAACAAGCATTTTGCTACGGCTGGCCATGCTTTCCACCTGGCTACCACTACCCTGGCCACCAGCTCTGCACCCTCCGCTGCAACTTGCCCATGCCCCCCCCGCTTCTCCTTCACACAAATCCAGACAGCTGATGTTCTGAAAGAGCTGCAAAATCTGGACCCCTACAAATCTTCTGGGCTAGACAATCTGGACCCTTTCTTTCTAAAACTAGCCGCCGAAATTGTCGCAACCCCTATTACTAGCCTGTTCAACCTCTCTTTCGTAACGTCTGAGATCCCCAGAGATTGGAAAGCTGCCGCGGTCATCCCCCTCTTCAAAGGGGGTGACACTCTAGATCCAAACTGTTACAGACCCATATCCATCCTGCCCTGCCTTTCAAAAGTTTTGAAAGCCAAGTCAACAAACAGATCACCGACCATTTCGAATCCCACCATACCTTCTCCGCTATGCAATCCGGTTTCCGAGCTGGTCATGGGTGCACTTCAGCCACGCTCAAGGTCCTAAACGATATTATAACCGCGATCGATAATAGACAGTACTGTGCAGCCGTTTTCATTGACCTGGCCAAGGCTTTCGACTCTGTCAACCACCGCATTCTTATTGGCAGACTAAATAGCCTTGGTTTCTCAAATGACTGCCTCGCCTGGTTCACCAACTACTTCTCAGATAGAGTTCAATGTGTCAAATCGGAGGGCCTGTTGTCTGGACCTATGGCAGTCTCTATGGGGGTGCCACAGGGTTCAATTCTTGGGCCGACTCTTTTCTCTGTGTATATCAATGACGTCGCTCTTGCTGCTGGTGACTCTCAGATCCACCTCTACGCAGACGACACCATTTTGTATACATCTGGCCCTTCATTGGACACTGTGTTAACAAACCTCCAAACGAGCTTCGATGCCATACAACACTCCTTCAGTAGCCTCCAACTGCTCTTGAACACTAGTAAAACTAAATGCATGCTCTTCAACCGAACGCTGCCTGCACCCGCCCACCCGACTAGAATCACTACTCTCGACGGGTCTGACCTAGAGTATGTGGACAACTACAAATATCTAGGTGTCTGGTTAGACTGTAAACTCTCCTTCCAGACTCACATTAAGAATCTCCAATCCAAAGTTAAATCTAGAATCGGTTTTCTATTTCGCAACAAAGCCTCCTTCACTCATGCTGCCAAACATGCCCTCGTAAAACTGACTATCCTACCGATCCTTGACTTCGGCGATGTCATTTACAAAATAGCCTCCAACACTCTACTCAGCAAATTGGATGTAGTCTATCACAGTGCCATCCGTTTTGTCTCCAAAGCCCCATATAATACCCACCACTGTGACCTGTACGCTCTTGTTGGCTGGTCCTCACTACATATTCGTCGCCAAACCCACTGGCTCCAGGCCATCTATAAATCACTGCTAGGCAAATCCCCGCCTTATCTTAGCTCATTGGTCACCATAGCAACACCCACCCGTAGTCTGCGCTCCAGCAGGTATATCTCACTGGTCATCCCCAAAGCCAACACCTCCTTTGGCCGCAATTCCTTCCAGTTCTCTGCTGCCAATGACTGGAACAAATTGCAAAAATCTCTGAAGCTGGAGACACTTATCTCCCTCACTAACTTTAAGCATCAGTTGTCAGAGCACCTTACCGATCACTGCACCTGTACACAGCCCATCTGAAATTAGCCCGCCCAACTACCTCATCCCTATATTGTTATTTATTTTGCTCATTTCTACCCCAGTATCTCTATTTGCACATCATCTCTTGCACATCTATCATTCCAGTGTTAATACTAATTGTAATTATTTTGCACTATAGCCTATTTATTGCCTTACCTCCATAACTTGCTACATTTGCACACACTGTATATATATGTATTTCTGTTGTATTTTTGACTTTGTTTTGTTTTACCCCATATGTAACTCTGTGTTGTTGTTTTTATCGCACTGCTTTGCTTTATCTTGGCCAGGTCGCAGTTGTAAATGAGAACTTGTTCTCAACTGGTTTACCTGGTTAAATAAAGGTGAGAAAAATAAAAAAATAAAGAGGAGGACGGAAACTAGCTGTGCAGTTGAGGCTACTGTAGACCTTCATTGCCAAACAGTGTTTTAATCAATTATTTGGTGACGTGAGTATATCTAGTATAGTTTTATCTAAAAAGGATATGTTTGACCCGTCTCTGTGTCTGTGTGCTCATTGATCTCACTCACTGCAACATAATCGAGATGTTATCAGGAACAATCCGAGGTCGTCCTCCATCTGTTGCATGTTGGAGGCTTTTGCGAGTCAATGTTTGCACCAGGTGTGCTTTTTTGTTTGTTTCAAACAATTTACTGCCTGAAATCTAGCACATTTAATTGCATTCCATTGTAATTCTCCTAGCCTGCAACCCTGAAAGCAGATGGCAATCACAGAGGGGATTGTAGACAGAGCAGACACACACAGAGCTTGGATGCCCTTCACTGTAAAGGCCTGAGTTTAATTAAATCAAAAACCAAAGATTATACCTCTGAGGTTTACCATTGGTTCCTTCTCAGAATGGAACTACAAACACAACAGATGGGGGTTGTGGGTGATCCATTGTTTATTTGATAATATAAGGGAAATTATATGAAATGTGTGTGTAGTGTGGAGGGAGATCCATAAAGTCAACATCTGCGAGAGCAACAGAGTAAATGCAGAGGTTTGTTGCAGACAAACAGATTGTATATCTAAATATACAACTGTACTGGAAAAATGTTTTCATAAATTGCTTTTGAAACAGTGTAGTTGCTATGGTAAAACAACAGTGATGTGCAGAGATTGATAGTGCATATTAAAGTCTCCAAATCACCCAGAACCTACACCCTGCTGTCTCCACAGGTCACAGAGTGAATGATGGACTGTGGCACTCCGTGAGTCTCAGCTCCCGAAGTCTCCAGGTCACCATGACTCTGGACAACGAGCCGCCCTCAACCGTCGAGCTGGCGGACCACATGGAAGCAGGAAACAGCCTCTACTTTGGAGGTAAGAGGACAGATAATATGACCAATACTTGATTAGGTTTGAAAATATGTTCTGGTATTTACAGTAGAAACTCAATGATTTGATTAAACTGGGGACTGTAATACCTAAGAAGCCTCACTCTTTGGCATCGTCACTCCAGCGCCTTAGTGGCTCTTAATATACATTGGCTTGTAAGCAGAGATTTACTTAATACATCCCTGTACAAACTTTAGCTTCCCAGAACTTGCCATGTACATCTCAAATCTTCTGATAGCTGGCGTTTTACTAAGCTGCTTTTAAAAGGCTTCAACTTTTATAATGGCGTGTCTTGGCAGGTTTAACTCTGCTCTCTTTTTTTGGGCGACTTCTCTCTCTGCCGTAACAGAGGTTTAAAAACGGTACATGATTGTCACGCGATTTTTATTTTAATTTTTATGTACATGTCCTGTTTAGATAATTTTCACTAAATCACAAATGTTGTTATTTCTGCTTGCGTGTCTCCAGTCAGTGTCACACCCTGACTCTGGGGACTCGTATATGTTGAGTCAGGGTGTGTATGTTCTATGTTGTGTAGTTCTATGTTGATATTCTATTATGTGTAGATCTATGTTGGCCGGTGTGGTTCCCAATCAGAGGCAGCTGTAGCTCGTTGTCTCTGATTGGGGACCATACTTAGGCAGCCTATTGGCACTAGTGGGTTGTGGGATCATGTTCCAGTTAAGGTATGTTGTGTTGTGCTGCCTTGGACTTCACGTTTCGTTTTGTTGTTTTGTCGGTATGTATGCATATCACGCTGCGCCTTGGTCTGACCCGTTCATCAACGAGCGTGACAGAAGATCCCACCAAACGAGGACCAAGCAGCGTGTTCAGGAGCAAACGCCGGGAATTCAACAGGAGGTTACATTAGTAGATGTCCTCCTTGGTTGGGGGAGAATTACGGAGGAGGAGGCCGTCCGTTACCGGAAGGCGATGAAGGAGGATGCCCAGGTAGGAGAGGAGAAACGGCGCCAACAGTGCCGACGACAGAGACCTGAGAGGCAACCCCAAGAAAATGTTTGTGGGGGGCACACGGTGTGGACGACGAGGCAGCAGGAGGCCGTTAAAGGGCGGATCTGCAGGTTAGGAGAGGAGGCCACCATGTTACGGGGGCTATTGGTACAGAGGGAGCAGGAGTTATTCGGTCAGAGGGAGGTGCTACAGGAGGCTAAAAGGGAGAAGGAAAGTTTAGAGGCACGGCGAGAGGAGCTGCTTAGGTAGCAGAAGGAGCGGGGGTTTATAAAGGAACCCAGTCCCGCTTCTCGCACCAAGCAAGTGGTGCGTGTCGCCAGTCCGGTCCGGCCCGTTCCTGCCCCTCGCACCAAGGCAGTGGTGCGCGTCGCCAGCCCGGCCCGGCCTGTTCCTGCTCCCTGCACCAAGCCAGTGGTGCGCGTCGCCAGCCCGGCCCGGCCTATTCCTGCCCCTCGCACCAAGCCAGTGGTGCGCGTCGCCAGCCCGTCCCGGCCTGTTCCTGCTCCCCGCACCAGGCCAGTGGTGCGCGTCGCCAGTCTGGTACGGCCCGTTCCTGCTCCCCGCACCAAGCCAGTGGTGCGCGTCGCCAGCCCGGTCCGGCCTGTTCCTGCTCCCCGCACCAAGCCAGTGGTGCGTGTGTCCAGTCCGGCACTGCCCGTGCCTGTTCCACCGGTGCCTGGTCCGGCACCGGTCAGCTGCTCCACTCCGGAGCCAGAGCAGTCCGCTCCACCGGTGCCCAGTTCAGCTCCGGTCAGCTGCTCCACTCCGGAGCCAGAGCAATCCGCTTTACCGGGGTCCAGTCCAGCTCTGGTCAGCGGCTCCACTCCGGAGCCAGAGCAGTCCGCTCCACCGGTGCCTGATCCAGCTCCGGTCAGCTCCTCCACTCCGGAGCCAGAGCAGTCCGCTCCACCGGGGTTCAGTCCAAATCCGGTCAGCGGCTCCACTCCAGAGCCAGAGCAGTCCGCTCCACCGGTGCTCAGTCCAGCTCCGGTCAGCGGCTCCAGTCCGGAGCCTGAGTAGTCCGCTCCACCGGTGCCCGGTCCAGCTCCGGTCAGCGGCTCCAGTCCAGACCCAGACGTCAGACCCTCTCCAGGTTCGGGGTCTCCCACACCAGGGTCCAGACAGGGCTTGGTACTTCGTAGGAGGAAGGAGAGGGGAAGCAGCGCGCCGAGGTCCAGACCAGACCAGGGGCGCAACAGGGAGGCGGAGAGTAAGTGGTCATCACGCCCTGAGCCGGATCCGCCTCCGAGGCGGAATGCCCACCCGGCCCCTACCCTGTTATGTTTATGTTGTGCAGTCGGAGTCCGCACCTTTGGGGGGGGGTACTGTCATGCCCTGACTCTGGGGACTCGTATATGTTGAGTCAGGGTGTGTATGTTCTATGTTGTGTATTTCAATGTTGATATTCTATTATGTGTAGATCTATGTTGGCCGGTGTGGTTCCCAATCAGAGGCAGCTGTAGCTCGTTGTCTCTGATTGGGGCCCATACTTAGGCAGCCTATTGGCACTAGTGGGTTGTGGGATCTTGTTCCAGTTAAGGTATGTTGTGTTGTGCTGCCTTGGACTTCACGTTTCGTTTTGTCGGTTGTTTATTCCTTTAAATAAACATGTATGCATATCACGCTGCGCCTTGGTCCGTCCCGTCTGTAAGCGAACGTGACAGTCAGTAAGTCAGTCAGCATACAACCCTCTTAGCAACTTAACATACATTGCCTTTGGAAAGTATTCAGACCCCTTGACTTTTTCCATATTTTGTTACGTTACATCCTAAATTTGATTCAATTGTTTTTTTTCCTCATCAATCTACACAATACCCCATAATGACAAAGCAACAACTAGTTTTTATAAATTTTAGCTAATTAAATTTGTTCAAACCCGGAAATATCACATTTACATAAGTATTCAGACCCTTTACTCAGTACTTTGTTGACGCACCTTTGGCAGCGATTACAGCATCCAGTCTTCTTGGGTATGACGCTACAAGCTTGGCACACCTGTATTTGGGGAGTTTCTCCCATTCTTCTCTGCAGTTTCTCTCAAAATCTGTCAGGTTGGATGGGGAGCGTTGCTGCCCAGCTATTTTCAGTTCTCTCCAGAGATGTTAAATCGGGTTCAAGTCCAAGCTCTGGCTGGGCCACTCAAGGACATTCAGAGACTTGTCCTGAAGCCACTCCTGCATTATCTTGGCTATGTGTTTAGGGTCGTTGTCCTGTTGGAAGGTGAACCTTCACCCCAGTCCTGAGTGCTCTCGAGCAAGTTTCCATCAAGGATCTTTTTGTACTTTGCTCCATTTATCTTTGCCTCGATCCTGACTAGTCTCCAAGTCACTGCTGCCACCAACATGCTTCAGCGTAGGGATGGTGCCAGGTTTCCTTCAGACGTGACGCTTGGCATTCAGGCCAAAGAGTTTAATCTTGATTTCATCAGACCAGACTCTTGTTTCTCATGGTCTGAGAGTATTTAGGTGCCTTTTGGCAAACTCCAAGCGGGCTGTCATGTGCCTTTTACTAAGGGGTGGCTTCCATCTGGCCACTCTACCATAAAGTCCTAATTGGTGGAGTGCTGCAGAGATGCTTGTCCTTCTGGAAGGTTCTCCCATCTCCACAGAGGAACTCTGGTGCTCTGTTAGAGTGACCATCGGGTTCTTGGTCACCTCCCTGACCAAGGCCCTTCTCCCCCGATTGCTCAGTTTGGACCGGGCGGCCAGCTCTAGGAAGAGTCTTGGTGGTTCCAAACTTCTTCCATTTAAGAACGATGGAGGCCACTGTGTTCTTGGGGACCTTCAATGCTGCAGAACTGTTTTGGTACCCTTCCCCAGATCTGTGCCTCGACACAATCCTGTCGCAGAGCTCTATGGACAATTCCTTCAACCTCATGGTTTCTGCTCTGACATGCACTAACAACTGTGGGACCTTATATAGACAGGTGTGTGCCTTTCCAAATAATGTCCAATCAATTGAATTTACCACAGATAGACTCCAATCAATTTGTAGAATCATCTCAAGGATGATCAATAGAAACAGGATGTACCTGAGCTCAATTTCGAGTCTCATAGCAAAGGGTCTGAATACTTATGTAAATAAGGTATTTCTGTCTTTCTACAGAAATCTAAAAATGTGTTTTCACTTTGCCATTATGGGGTATTGTGTGTACATTGCTGATGATTTTTTATTTATTCAATCCATTTTAGAATAAGGCTGTAACGTAACAAAATGTGGAAAAGTCAAGGGGTCTGAATAATTTCTTAAGGAACTGTATGTGTAAGCCTGTTTTGTTGCATTATTACTGTAGAAGCTTGTTTGGCAGATGTTGTGTTACATAAACATCCTTCTGCTGTGTGTTCCATTAGGCTGTCCCTCCTCATCCCCAGCTGACCCAGGCTGTGAGAACCCCACATTGGCATTCCAGGGTTGCATGCGTCTCATTTCCATCAACAGTCAGCCCATGGACCTGAACCAGGTGCACCAAGGACGGCTGGGAAACTACAAGGAGCTACAGTTTGACACATGTGGCATCCATGACAGGTATCACAATTGCTGTATACAATATTAGATTTTCGAAATTATGTGCCAAGGTGGCAACCTTCAACTTAAAGCATATGCATGGGACTTTTGTTTTTTGCTTATGCAACTAACACAACTTAACACTTGATTATTGTCAGACCTTGTTTGATATATTATGTTCCAGCAAAATGTTTGGATTGTGCAAGCACATAATTTCTGTCTCCTCATTTGATGTTATGGCACTGGTATAAAACATTGTAGTTTATTTTGGACCTGAAGCTTGTGAAATCCTTTTCTCACAGCTGAAGTGTGAGCAAATGAACATTAAGTTCTAAGGCAGGGGACCTTTGAAGTCAGTAGCCTTTACAGGGTCTACAGTAATTAGTGAGGAGGGTTGAGTAATTATAGAAACATGTCAGGTTCCTATGTTGCCCAATGGAAAAAGCAGCTGATTGGGACTCTGCTTTCGACTGTGTCTCTAATTAACTGTGACTGGAGTCGGAGTGCAGATTGACTGATTGCCAGACTGAAATGTTACTGTACAATTTTTACTGGGTTGCCATGAAACCAAGGAGCCAGTTAACCTAAGAGACAAGATCCCCCGAGAAGTGATGATGAGGAGAGGAGCTTGTTTTTCTTTAGTGTTTCCGAAAGTGTCGGGAGCAAAATGTCTCATGTTATAACACCTCACCAAACATATTTTAATTGGGAACCCAGCATGAGAAACAGTAACCAAAAATAATGATGTGGCAAAGCTCAAAAGAAGCAACTTGTTTCTTAATGTTAAAATCTTGAACATTGTTTTGCTATTTTTATGTATAGAGTAAGCGCCCAATACATTAGTCATAGCACAATATGAATAATCTGATGTCTACATGCAGAACTATACTGTAAATATATAGTCACTATTTCAGGATCTGCAACATGGAGTGTTTTTGGAGAACTGGTGATTTAAATAGCGCCCATTTCTGAATGACTTTGTATTTCGTTCCTGTGTTGAGGATTAAGCACTGTGTTTATGCTTGTGGGGTTCAAATAATCAACATAATCAAAAACAGGCTTTAATCTTCAACCTTTTCAATATAATGACAACCTACTTATGATTGCACAACCTCAACAGTAACGGAGAAATCACTGCAATCAAACAAGATTACTACATACCCTGGATGTGGTGAATGATGGACGGAGTCAGGCGCAGGAGTAAAATAACCGGATGCAGATGTATTCCTTCCAGACATACAATGTGCCTACAACAGCAATCGAAACAGGTACAGGGGAAACAATCCTCCCTGACCAAACACAGTCTCAGAAAATACAATAAAAGTAATGACACAGGGCAAAATCAACCCTGGCAAAATAAATGAGAAAGTATCTCAACCGAGCTACTCTCCTCCCACATAGAACAATCACTCACAAAGACAAGGGGGCAGAGGGAACACTAATACACCGACTAATTAGGGGATGAGCACCAGGTGTGTGTGATTGACAAGACAAGACAAGTGGAGTGATGAGAATGGGAGCGGCAGTAGCTAGTAAGCCGGTGACGACGAATGCCTAAACCTGCCCGAACAAGGAGGGGAGGCAGCCTCGGCGGAAGTCATGACAGTACCCCCCCCTCGGGGACGGCCAGGAGGACGCGGAGCAGGGTGAGCCGGATGGTGACAGTGGAAATCTCGCAACAGGGAGGGATCGAGGATGTCCCTCTCCGGGACCCAGCACCGTTCCTCCGGACCGTATCCCTCCCACTCCACGAGGTACTGAAGGCCCCCGACCCAACGCCTCGAATCCAGGATGGAACGGACCGAGTACGCCGGGGCCCCCTCGATGTCCAGAGGAGGTGGAGGGACTTCCCGCACCTCAAACTCCTGGAGCGGACCAACCACCACCGGCCTAAGGAGAGACACATGAAACGAGCGGTTAATACGGTAATCAGGGGGAAGTAATAACCTGTATGTGACCTCGTTTATCCTCCTCAGGACTTTAAACGGCCCCACAAACCGCGAGCTCAGCTTCCGGCAGGGCAGGCGGATGGGCAGATTCCAGGTCGAGAGCCAGACCCGATCCCCCGGTACGAAGACCGGGGCCTTGCTGCGGTAGTGGTCAGCGTTGGCCTTCTGACGACACACAGCGCGCTGGAGGTGAACGTGGGCAGCGTCCCAAGTCTCCTCCGCATGCCAAAACCAGTCATCCACCGCAGGAGCCTCGGTCTGGCTCTGGTGCCACGGTGCCAGAACCGGTTGGTAACCTAAAACACATTGGAAGGGCGTTAGGTTAGTGGAGGAGTGGCGGAGAGATTTCTGGGCATATTCTGCCCATGGCAAAAACACCAACCACTCCCCCGGCCGGTCCTGGCAGTAGGTCCGCAGGAACCTACCCACATCTTGATTAACCCTTTCCACATGCCCATTACTCTCGGGGTGGAATCCAGAGGTCAGGCTGACCAAGACCCCCAGACGTTCCATGAACGCCTTCCAGACCCTAGACGTGAACTGGGGACCTCGGTCGGACACTATATCCTCTGGTACCCCGTAGTGCCGGAAGACGTGAGTAAACAGGGCCTCCGCGGTTTGTAGGGCCGTGGGGAGACCGGGCAGAGGAAGGAGGCGGCAGGACTTCGAAAAGCGGTCCACAACGACCAGGATGGTGGTGTTACCTTGGGAGAGGGGAAGATCAGTAAGAAAATCAATACTTAGATGAGACCATGGTCATTGTGGAACTGGTAATGGTTGCAACTTACCCGCTGGGAGGTGCCTAGGTGCCTTACTCTGGGCGCACACCGAGCAGGAGGAGACGTACACCCACACAGTATTTATCGGTCAGGCAGCGCACTGTACAACCGATACCTGGGTGACCAGAGGAGGGTGACGTGTGTGCCCAGTAGATCAAACGATCACAGATAAGAGCAGGCACGTACCGCAGCCCAGCTGGACACTGAGGTGGAGATGGATCTGTGCGTAATGCTCGCGTCCATCGCCCATACTACCGGCGCCACAATGCAGGAGGCCGGGAGTATGGGGTGTTGTCTCTGGGCCTCTCCTCTATGTCATACAGCCGGGACAGTGCGTCTGCCTTCACGTTCTTCGTACCCGGAATGTATGATAGTGTGAAATCAAACCGGGTGAAGAGGGCCCACCTGGCCTGGCAAGGATTCAGCCTCCTCGATGCCCGGATGTACTCCAGGTTACGGTGGTCTGTCCAGACGAGAAAAGGGTGTTTCGCCCCTTCGAGCCAATTCCTCCACACTGTCAAAGCTCGGACAACAGCCAGCAGCTCCCGATCACCAACGTAGTTCTGCTCCGCCGAGCTGAGCTTCTTAGAAAAGAAGGCACAGGGGCGGAGCTTGGGTGGCATGCCCGAGCGTTGAGACAGGACAGCGCCTATCCCTACCTCGGACACATCCACCTCCACTACGAATGGTAGTGATGGATCGGGGTGGGCTAGTACCGGGGCTGAGGTGAACAGACCCCGCAATCTACTGAAGGCCAGGTCAGCCTCAGCAGACCAGCACCCTTCAACAAGGAGGTAATGGGAGCTGCGACCTTGCCAAAGCCCCGGATAAACCTCCGATAGTAGTTGGCAAAGCCAAGGAAGCGCTGCACCTCCTTAACCGTGGTTGTAGTCGGCCAATTACGCACGGCTGAAATGCAATCTCCCTCCATCTCCACACCTGAGGTAGTAATGTGGTATCCGAGGAAGGAGACTGACAGCTGGAAAACCTCACACTTTTCTGCCTTGGCATAAAGGTAATTCTCCAGCAGTCGGACCAGTACCTTGCTAACCAGGGACACATGCTTGGCGCGCGTAGCGGAATACACCAGGATGTCATCGATGTAGACCACCACACCGCGACCAAGCATGTCCCGAAACACCTCGTTCACAAAGGACTGGAAGACGGATGGAGCATTCATCAAACCGTAGGGCATCACCAGGTATTCATAATGTCCTGAGGTTGTGCTGAATGCTGTTTTCCACTCATCCCCTTCCCGAATACGCACCAGGTTGTAGGCACTCCTGAGATCTAATTTGGTGAAGAAGTGGGCTCCATGCATTGACTCAATCACTGAAGGAATGAGGGGAAGAGGATAACTAAATCGTATCGTCACCTTGTTCAGTGGTCGATAATCAATGCACGGGCGTAAACCCCCATCTTTCTTCTTCACAAAGAAGAAACTCAAGGAAGCAGGTGAAGTGGAGGGACATATATACCCCTGGCCCAGGGACTCAGTGATGTATGTCTCCATAGCCTCCGTTTCAGCCTGCAACAGGGGATACACATGACTCCTGGGAGGTACAGCGTCTACCTGAAGGTTTATCGCACAATCCCCCTCCCGATGAGGTGGTAATTTAGTCACCTGCGTCTTGGAAAACGCGAGCGCCAGATCATGGTATTCGGGGGGAATGCGCACGGTGGGGGTACCGTCTGGACTTTCCACTGTGGTTCAACCAACAGAAACACCTAGACACCTACCCGGACACTCTCGCGACCACCCCGTAAGAACCCTCTGCGGCCATGAGAAATTGGGGTTGTGAAGGGCTAACCACGGGATACCTAATAATTCCTCAGGGTAAGCAGGAGATTCAATAATCAAAAAGGTGATCTGCTCAAAATGAGTCTCCTGGGTGATCATGGTGACTTTTACAGTAACCTCCTTAACTAACCCGGACCCTAATGGTCGACTATCAAGGGCTCTGATGGGTCGTGGAATGGATAGGGGAACCAATGAAATGCCTTGATGGCGTGCAAATGCCCTGTCCATAAAGTTCCCAGCTGCGCCTGAATCGACTAGTGCCTTACACTGGGGAACTACCATGTGATCGGGAAAGGAGATAGATAGGGTGTGGGTGTTCAATACCTGGGGTGATGCGTGAGTGCCCTGCCTACCGCCTCCAGACCCAAAAGTACGTTGACTGCGACGTGAGGTGTATTGTCCCTTCGTGCCACCAGAGTGGCACTGTCACTGTCCTCCTCCGCTCTCTCGAACGGCGGCTCCACCCAACTCCATCACCGAGCAGATGGACATCCTCTGGCTGCCAGCAGATTGTCCAGCCGGATGGCCATGTCCACCAGTTGGGAGAACGATAGCATGGCATCCTGGCAGGCTAGCTCCCGTCGGACGTCCTCCCGTAGGTGGCACCGGAAATGGTTGATCAGGGCACGTTCGTTCCACCCGGACCCCGCTGCCAGCGTCCAGAACTCCAGCGCGTAGTCCTGTGCGGTCCTCTTCCCCTGCCTCAGCTGGACCAGCCGCTCGCCCGCCTCTCGACCCTCGGGCGGGTGATCGAAAACCGCCCGAAAGAGGCCAGCTAACTCCCTGTAGTCCTCCAACGCGGCTCTTCCTTCATTCCACACCGCGCTGGCCCACTCCAGGGCTCTCCCACAGAGGCAGGAAACGAGGACGGATACCTTCTCCCGCTCCAATGGCGCCGGCCTGATGCTGGAGAAATGCATCTCCAGTTGGAGAAGGAATCCTTTACAGCGCACTGCCGTCCCATCAAACGCCGGTGGCCGGGATATCTAGATCCCTCCGGGTTCTGGGGTGTAGGTGTCTGGATCCGGTTGGCCAGCTGGTCTCGACAGATCGGGTCCTCTCCTCTCCAGGCGTTGGACGACCTGAAGAACCCGATCCATCGCTTTCACCAAGCTGGCCAGCATCATGGAATGCTCCTGGACCCTTGCAACGACTCCAGGCATGCGGTCGTCTCCTGCTGACTCCATGTCAGCGGGTGAGTGATTCTGTGGTGAATGATGGACGGAGTCAGGCACAGGAGTAAAATAACCGGATGCAGATTTATTCCTTCCAGACATACAATGCGCCTACAACGGCAATGAAAACAGGTATAGGGGAAACAATCCTCCCTGACCAAACACAGTCTCAGAAAATACAATAAATGTAATGACACAGGGGAAAATCAACTCTGGCAAAATAAATGAGAGAGTATCTCAACCAAGATACTCTCCTCCCACATAGAACAATCACTCACAAAGACAAGGGGGAAGAGGGAACACTTATACACATACTAATTAGGGGATGAGCACCAGGTGTGTGTGATTGACAAGACAAGACAAGTGGAGTGATGAGAATGGGAGCGGCAGTAGCTAGTAAGCCGGTGACGACGAACGCCGAAACCTGCCCGAACAAGGAGGGGAGGCAGCCTCGGTGGAAGTCGTGACACTTGAGTTATGCTTTCTATCGTCTTACCTTTTTAGAACGTTTCAAAACAATGTTGATTTATCCTTCCTGCTGCTCAACACTTCCTGTTTATTAATAGTATAACATAGCATAGCTAGGCCTCCCTCTGTCTCTCTCCATCACTAATTCTCCAGGTTTAAAACATTCATGAGCAGCTGTCATCTTCCAGGACCCTGCCAGGCTCAGGGTGGCAGTCCCCTAACAGCCAGCGCAGGTTGACTGGCAGACCGCGGCCTCTGCATGCCACCATGGAGGTGGAGGCCATGGGTTCCTAGAAATGTTCAATAGAACCATTAGGGGACATGCACAACCCAACTTAGCACTTTGGCTTGTGACATACTTACTTATAGAAAAACAATTAATTCATTTGTCAGTGAGGGAACTAATTACATAACACAAAAAACTCTTAAGAGATTATAATACCTTTTGTTGAAGAGCTTTCCTCGCCATTCACTCCTACCACTAAAACTTCATTGTCCGGTTTATTGCGGAGGAACAGTTCTGCAAGTTGAGCAGCATAATTTTATGGTCCACGAAAGCCTTTTCTGTGTGCATGAATAAAAATAGCACAGCAATAATTAAACCATCACCTGAACATTATCTGGAAAACAGTTGACTCCCTTTGTAGTGCTAAATAGGTAAATGGGAATTGTAATGGCTGTGTTGTATGTACAACCCCCACTAAACCAGAGCTCCCGTGGGACAGGATTCACAATTTAAGCAGAATTAAATAATATATGCAAGCTTAAAAGGCTGGTAATCTTAGAAGGTACAGAGGCATTTTTAATCAGAGTGTCTTTCCATAGCCAGTTTCACTGGTACTTTTTCTGCATATTGTTAACATTTACAGAGACCTCAGATGATTTGCAAAAATGTCATTGTAGAGAGGGAGAGGGGTGAGGAGAGGAGAGGGGGGTTGAGTTGCTTACACCTACCATAGCCATGCATGTTTATGCAGTTACTTTGTTTACAAACAACTGCCGGCACAAACACCTGCCTTTCTTGGAAATCAGTTTGCCTGGTTCAATTGAATTTGAGCCCCACAATAAAACACAATGGGTACAGAGGTCAGCCCAGTCATGTCCCGTACAGCCGAAGAGCAGGCAGGTACTCACCCAAAAATGAACATAACAAAATTGTTATGAAAATCTAAACTCAATATTCTGTTTGCTAAAATCTATTGTCACTAGAAAGTTTTGTATGCAGATGTTCATCATGAATAATAACAATTTTAAGTCTTACAGCCATTTTGTTGTTAAGAAGTTGTCACAGATATCAAAACACCAGCCATCATCAGTCAAGCATATTTTGTAGTGTTGTCAAGTTCATTATCTCCAGCTAGTTCAGTTCAGTCAGAGAGTGGGAACAACCATATTGTTTTAGCATTGCTGTCTCAATGACTTTGCCTCTCTGGTACCAGGTCACTTGGATTCCTTCCCACTGTCTGATCTTTCCTGTCTCTCCAGATGTCTGCCCAACTTCTGTGAACATGGAGGGCAGTGTTCCCAGTCCTGGAACACCTTCTACTGTGACTGCTCTGGAACAGGATACACTGGAGCCACCTGCCACAACTGTGAGTACCTGCCTGCTCTCCGGCTGTTCTGGACATGACTGGGCTGACCTCTGTACCCCATTGTGTTTCATTGTGTAAATACATTACCTGATCAAATGTATGTGGACACCTGCTTGTCGAACATCTCATTCCAAAATCATGGGCATTAATATGGAGTTGGTCCCCCTTTGCTGCTATAACAGCCTCCACTATTCTGGGAAGGCTTTCCATTAGATGTTGGAACATTGCTGCGGGGACTTGCTTCCATTCAGCCACAAGAGTGAGGTCGGGCACTGATGTTGGGCGATTAGGCCTGGCTCGCAGTCGGTGTTCCAATTCATTCCAAAGGTGTTCGATGGGGTTGAGGTCAGGGCTCTTTGCAGGCCAGTCAAGTTCTTCCACACTGAACTCGACAAACCATTTCTGTATGGACCTCGCTTTGTGCAAGAGGGCATTGCCATGCTGAAACAGGAAAGGGCCTTCTCCAAACTGTTGCCACAAAATTGGAAGCACAGGATCATCTAAAATGTCATTGTTTGCTGTAGCATTAAGATTTCCCTTCACTGGACCTAAGGGGCCTAGCCCGAACCATGAAAAACAGCCCAGACCATTATTCCTCCTCCACCAAACTTTACAGTTGTCACTATGCATTGGGGTTGGTAGCGTTCTCCTGGCATCCGCAAAACACAAATTTGTCCGTCGGAATGCCGGCCTGAAGCGTGATTCATCACTCGAGAAAATGCGTTTCCACTGCTCCAGAGTCCAATGGCGGCGAGCTTTACACCACTCCAGTCGACGCTTGGCATTGCGCATGGGGATCTTAGGCCTGTGTGCGACTGCTCAGCCATGGAAACCCATTTCATGAAGCTCCCGACGAACAGTTGTTGTGCTGACGTTGCTTCCAGAGGCAGTTTGGAACTCGGTAGTGAGTGTTGCAACCGAGGACAGAGGTTTTTACCCGCTACGTGCTTCAGCACTCAGCGGTCCCGTTTTGTGAGCTTGTGTGGCCTACCACTTCGCGTCTGAGCCGTTGTTGCTCCTAAACGTTTCCACTTCACAATGACAGCACTTACAGTAGACTGAGGAAGCTCTAGCAGGGCAGAAATGTTACGAACTGACTTGTTGTAAAGGTGGCATCCTATGACGGTGCCACGTTGAAAGCCACTGAGCTCTTCATTAAGGCCATTCTACTGCCAATGTTTGTATATGGAGATTGCATGGCTGTGTGCTCGATTTTCTACACCCTTCTACAGCAACGAGTGTGGCTAAAATAGCCGAATCCACTAATTTGAAGGGGTGTCCACATACTTTTGTATATATAATGCCTTGCAAAAGTATTCATCCCCCTTGGCGTTTTTCCTATTTTGTTGCATTACAACCTGTAATTTAAATTAATTTTTATTTGGATTTCATGTAATGGACATACACAAAATAGTCCAAATTGATGTAGTGAAATAAAAAAAATTACTTGTTTCAAAAAATTTATAACGGACAAGTGGTACGTGCACACCCCCTTTGCTATGAAGCCCCTAAATAAGATCTGGTGCAACCAATTACCTTCAGAAGTCACATAATTAGATAAATAAAGTCCACCTGTGTGCAATCTAAGTGTCACATGATCTGTCACATGATCTCAGTATTGTGGAGAAGTGCAGATCAGGGTTGGGTTATAAAAAATATCAGAAACTTTGAACATCCCACAAGGCACCGTTAAATCCATTATAAAAAAAATGGAAAGAATATGGCACCACAACAAACCTGCCAAGAGAGGACCGCCCACCAAAACTCACAAACCAGGCAAGGAGGGCATTAATCAGAGAGGCAACAAAGAGACCAAAGATAACCCTGAAGGAGCTGCAAAGCTCCACCGCAGAGATTGGAGTATCTGTCCATAGGACCACTTTAAGCTGTACACTCCACAGAGCTGGGCTTTACGGAAGAGTGGCCAGAAAAAAGCCATTGCTTAAAGAAAAAGGAAGCAAACACGTTTGGTGTTCGCGAAAAGGCATGTGGGAGACTCCCCAAACATATGGAAGAAGGTACTCTGGTCAGATAAGACTAAAATTGAGCTTTTTGGCCATCAAGGAAAACACTATGTCTAGCGCAAACCCAACACCTCTCATCACGCCGAGAACACCATCCCCACAGTGAAGCATGGTGGTGGCAGCATCATGCTGTGGGGATGTTTTTATTGGCAGGGACTGGGAAACTGGTCAGAATTGAAGGAATGATGGATGGCGCTAAGTACAGGGAAATTCTTGAGGGAAACCTGTTTCAGTCTTCCAGAGATTTGAGACTGGGACGGAGGCTAACCTTCCAGCAGGACAATTACCCTAAGCATACTGCTAAAGCAACACTCGAGTGGTTTAATGGGAAACATTTAAATGTCTTCGAATGGCCTAGTCAAAGCCCAGACCTCAATCCAATTGAGAATCTGTGGAATGACTTAATGATTGCTCTACACCATCGGAACCTATCCAACTTGAAGGAGCTGGAGCAGTTTTGCCTTGAAGAATGGGCAAAAATCCCAGTGGCTAGATGTGCCAAGCTTATAGAGACATACCCCAAGAGACTTGCATCTATAATTGCTGCAAAAGGTGGCTCTACAAAGTATTGACTTTGGTGGAGTGAATAGTATTTGTTGTTTATTTCACAAGAAAAAATATTTTGCATCCTCAAAGTGGTAGGCATGTTGTGTAAATCAAATGATACAAACACCCCCAAAATCCATTTTAATTCCAGGTTGTAAGGCAACAAAATAGGAAAAATGCCAATGACCTGAATACTTTCGGAAGCCACTGTATGGTGTATACAGTCGTGGTCAAAAGTTTTGAGAATGACACAAGTATTGGTCTTCACAAAGTTTGTTGCTTCAGTGTTATGAGATATTTTTGTCAGATGTTACTATGGTATACTGAAGTATAATTACAAGCATTCCATTACATGAAGTTGATGCAAAGAGTCAATATTTGCAGTGTTGACCCTTCTTTTTCAAGACCTCTGCAATCCGCCCTGGCATGCTGTCAATTAACTTATGGGCCACATCCTGACTGATGGCAGCCCATTCTTGTATAATCAATGCTTGGAGTTTGTCAGAATTTGTGGGTTTTTGTTTGTCCACCCGCCTCTTGAGGATCGACCAGAAGTTCTCAATGGGATTAAGGTCTGGGGAGTTTCTTGGCCATGGACCCAAAATGTCGATGTTTTGTTCCCCGAGCCACTTAGTTATCACTTTTGCCTTATGGCAAGGTACTCCATCATGCTGGAAAAGGAATTGGTCGTCACCAAACTGTTCTTGGATGGTTGGGAGAAGTTGCTCTCTGAGGATGTGTTGGTACCATTCTTTATTAATGGCTGTGTTCTTAGGCAAAATTGTGAGTGAGCCCACACCCTTGGTTGAGAAGCAACACCACACATGAATGGTCTCAGGATGCTTTACTGTTGGCATGACACAGGACTGATGGTAGCGCTCACCTTGTCTTCTCCAGACAAGGTGTTTTCAGGATGCCCCAAACAATCGGAAAGGGGATTCATCAGAGAAAATGACTTTACCCTTCTTGACACAAGGCCATCCTTCAAAAGTCTTCGCATCACTGTGCATGCAGATGCACTCACATCTGCCTGATGCCATTCCTGAGCAAGCTCTGCACTGTTGGTGCCCCGATCCTGCAATTGAATCAACTTTAGGAGACGATCCTGGCGCTTGCTGGACTTTCTTGGGCACCCTGACGCCTTCTTCACAACAATTGAACCTCTCTCCTTGAAGTTCTTGATGATCCGATAAATGGTTGATTTAGGTGCAATCTTACTAGCAGCAATATCTTTGCCAGTGAAGCCCTTTTTGTGCAAAGCAATGATGACGGCACGTTTTTCCTTGCAGGTAACCATGGTTAACAGAGGAAGAACAATGATTTCAAGCACCACTCTCCTTTTAAAGCTTCCAGTCTGTTATTCTAACTCAATCAGCATGACAGAGTGATCTCCAGCCTTGTCCTCGTCAACACTCTCACCTGTGTTAACGAGAGAATCACTGACATGATGGTAGCTAGTCCTTTTTTGGCAGGGCTGAAATGCAGTGGAACTGTTTTTTAAGTTCATTTTCATGGCAAAGAGGGACTTTGCAATTAATTGCAATTCATCTGATCACTCTTCATGACATTCTGGAGTATATGCAAATTGCCATAATCAAAACTAAGGCAACAGACTTTGTGAAAATTAGTATTTGTGTCATTCTCAAAACTTTTGACCACGACTGTAAATAAACAATCTAGTCTCACTATTTCATTATCTAATATGTTGTTGTAAGGTTTAGCCATAGATTGTTTTGCATACTTAGAGGGTGTTTGATGAGATATGAGACACTGTAGTTATTGCTAGGCCACCATCACATTTGAAATGGAAACGAATACGAATACACATGACCCCATAATAAAACTCTGTTTCTGCAAGCATTTTTGTTTTTATAACGGCCTGTGAACATATGTTATTACATTTACCTTACTCAAATTGTATTTTCATTCTCTACTCCCGTGTGTGTTCCTCTGTAGCCATCTATGAGGCATCATGTGAGGCCTACAGGCTGACTGGCAGCTCCTCAGGCTACTTCTCCATTGATCCAGATGGCAGTGGACCTCTGGGGCCGATACAGGTCTACTGCAACATGACAGGTGAGCTGCCATCCTGGCCCTCAACCTTACATACACATTTAGACTGATGGCCTTTATGATCTTGTTGTCAGACTAATCTAGATTTACAGCCGGATTGCCATTGATTGACTTTAAAATGGCGCCGGAGGGGATTGATGCCGTTTTATGGGCTCTTAACCAACCGTGCTATTTTGTTTGTATTTTCGCATTGTTTGTAACTTATTTTGTACATAATGTTGCTGCTACCATCTCTTATGACCGAAAAGAGCTTCTGGACATCAGAACAGCGATTACTCACCTTGAACTGGACGAATAATTTTTCTTTAATGAGTCGGACGAGAGGGATTTTCAGACACCCGACAGGGCCCTCATCCCTGTCATTCACAGGAGAAAGAGACGGAGATATCGCGGAAGGAGATCGGGGTGCCTGATAAGGAGCCGGCGACAAGTGCCTAATCTGCCTTTGCCATTGGTACTATTGGCCAACGTACAATCGCTGGATAATAAAGTGGCAAACTAAAAGCATGTATATCCTACTGTCACGGTTTTGGCCGAGACTGCTCCTCCTCCTGGTTCGGGCAGGCTTCGGCGTTCGCCGTCCCCGGAGTACTAGCTGCCACCGTTGTATGTTTCGTGGTGTGATTGCTTTAGTCTGTCTTGTACACCTGTGTCTGTTTGTGTTCTGATTACGTGTCTTATAAGTTCCCTGTTTTGTATTAGTTAGATTGTGTGTTGTTGTTTGCCTGTCGTGCGGAGCTGCGTGTTTGCGCTCTGTTAGTTTTGTTTATTGTTTTACGCATGTTGCGTAATTCCCTCGCCTCCGTTTGTTTTCGAGGTCGTGTACTGTTTTGTTGAACTTTGGACTAGTAAAGTCTTTTGGACGAATCCTCTGTGTCCTGCGCCTGACTCCTCCACCACATCCACATCGGTTCTTTTGACAGAGCAACACAACCAACCATGGAGTCAGCAGGAGCAGCGGCGGCACCCAAGTCGCTGGAAGAGCGGATCAGCTATCAAGACACCATGATCCGGCAACTTGGGGCCGCCATGGACGAGGTGTCCAACACTCTGCGCCGGTTGGTGACTGGAGAGGTGCCTACGCCTTCTTACTCCATCCCATCACCAACGGCCAGTCCTCCTCTCTCAGCACCGGAACCCAGTGGCATTCGGCTCTCGCTCCCGAGGGCATATGACGGTTCTGCAGCCGGGTGTCAGGGGTTCCTCCTGCAGGTGGAACTCTACCTGGCTACCATACACCCAGCGCCCTCGGGATACGAGAGCGTCTCCACCCTCATCTCCTGTCTATCCGGCAAGGCGTTGGAGTGGGCCAACGCCGAATGGAGGGGAATAGACGCCGCTACCATCACCTACGCGGGGGAGCGTCTGTTCCACCTCCGACAGGGGAAGAGGAGCGCACAGGAGTTCGCACTGGAGTTCCGGACGCTAGCGGCGGATGCGGGGTGGAATGAGAGGGCCCTCATCGACCATTACCGGTGCAGCCTACGAGAGGACGTTCGTCGTGAGCTGGCCTGCAGGGACACCAACCTATCATTCGACCAGTTGGTGGACATCTCCATACGTCTCGACACCCTGCTGGCTACCCGCGGACGTCCCGAGTGGGGGCCGACCATTCCACCCTCCAGCACCTCCGAGCCGATTCCCATGGAGCTCGGGGGTGCTGGCGCTAGAGAGAGGAGGAGATAGAAACCGAGGGGGGCCACCCCCTGCACCAACTGTGGCCGTGGAGGACACACCGCGGCCAGGTGCTGGGGAGGGTCTCCTGGGAGAGGGGACAACAGGTCACGCACTGGGGAGTCATTTCAGGTGAGTAGGCGCCCCACTTACCCAGAGCTTTCTGTTGGTCACATGAGTATTCCTGTGAGATTTCCACAGGTGGCACCTCATTCCCAGCATAAGGCGCTAGTAGATTCAGGCGCAGCTGGGAATTTTATTGATCGGGCATTTTGTTATAGGTTTGGAATTCCCCTTCGGCCGGTAGAAGCCCCCTTTCCTGTCCACGCCTTAGACAGCCGGCCGTTGGGGTCGGGGCTGATCAGAGAAGTCACAGCACCACTTACTATGACGACGCAGGGGGGTCATGAGGAGATCATTCAGTTTTATCTGATTGACTCTCCTGCGTACCCCGTGGTGTTGGGGCTTCCCTGGTTAAGCACCCACGATCCTACCATTGCGTGGCAACAGAGGGCTCTTATGGAGTGGTCTGCCCAGTGTGTAGGGAGATGTCTAGGTGTTTCCTTAGGGGCGACCTCGGTTGAGAGTCCGAACCAAGTGCCCGCAATGCGCATTCCCCCTGAGTATGAGGACTTAGCACTCGTGTTCAGCAAGACGAGGGCAACACGGCTACCACCTCATAGACAGGGGGACTGTGCGATAAATCTCCAAACAGGAGCGGCTCTTCCGCGGAGCCGTGTGTATCCCCTGTCTCAAGAGGAGACAGCGGCTATGGAGACTTACATAGCTGAGTCCTTGGCACAGGGATACATATGGTCCTCCACTTCCCCGGTTTCCTCGAGTTTCTTCTTTGTGAAGAAGAATGACGGGGGTTTGCGCCCGTGTATTGATTACCGTAGTCTCAATCAGATCACGGTTAAGTACAGTTACCCTCTTCCACTGATTGCGACTATGACGGAGTCATTACGCGGAGCGCAGTTCTTCACAAAGTTGGATCTCAGGAGCGCGTACAATCTGGTGCGCATTAGGGAGGGGGATGAATGGAAAACGGCATTTAGCACCACCTCGGGTCATTACGAGTATCTCGTCATGCCATACGGGCTAATGAATCCTCCTTCAGTCTTCCAATCCTTTGTTGACGAGATTTTCCGGGACATGCATGGGCAGGGTGTGGTAGTGTACATCGACGACATCCTAGTGTACTCTTCTACACGAGCCGAGCATGTAGCCCTGGTGCGCCGAGTGTTGAGAAGACTGTTGGAACATGACTTGTATGTCAAGGCAGAGAAATGCCTGTTCTTCCAGGAGTCCGTCTCCTTTTTGGGTTATCGGTTGTCCGCGTCTGGTGTGGAGATAGAGGTAGACCGTGTGTCGGCCGTGCGTAATTGGCAAACTCCAACCACTGTAAAAGAGGTGCAGCAGTTCTTGGGTTTTGCTAATTACTACCGGAGGTTTATTCGGGGCTTTGGACAGGTTGCAGCGCCCATTACGTCCCTGTTAAAGGGGGGTCCGGTTCGTCTGCAGTGGTCAGCTGAGGCGGACAGGGCATTTGTCAAACTGAAGAACCTGTTCACCTCGGCCCCGGTGCTGGCGCATCTGGATCCCTCTTTACCATTCCAAGTAGAGGTAGACGCGTCCGAGACCGGTATTGGGGCAGTCCTGTCACAACGGTCCGGCACGCCACCTAAGCTCCGCCCCTGTGCGTTCTACTCTAAGAAACTCAGCTCGGCGGAGCGCAATTATGACGTTGGGGACAGGGAGCTGTTAGCTGTAGTCCAGGCCCTAAAGGTGTGGAGGCATTGGCTTGAGGGGGCTCAACACCCTTTCCTCATTCTGACCGATCACCGTAACCTGGAGTACATCCGGGCAGCTAGGAGATTGAACCCTCGTCAGGCTAGGTGGAACATGTTCCTGACCCGGTTTGTTTTTAAGACCACATACATCCCAGGGTCCCAGAACGGTAAGGCAGACGCCCTGTCCCGGCGGTATGACACAGAGGAGAGGTCCATTGAGCCCACTTCCATACTGCCGGAGTCTTGTCTGGTGGCTCCGGTGGTATGGGAGGTCGATGCGGAAATCGAGCGGGCACTGCGTGCCGACCCTACTCCCCCCGAGTGTCCTGTGGGGCGGAAGTACGTTCCGCTCGAGGTTCGTGATCGTCTGATTTATTGGGCTCATACATCACCCTCCTCTGGACATCCAGGTATTGGCCGGACAGTGCACTGCCTTAGCGTGAAATACTGGTGGCCAACGTTAGCTAAGGATGTGAGGGTTTATGTCTCCTCCTGCTCGGTGTGCGCCCAGTGTAAGGCGCCTAGACATTTGCCCAGGGGTAAGTTACATCCCCTGCCCGTTCCACAACAACCATGGTCCCACCTCTCGGTGGATTTTGTGACCGACCTACCCCCTTCCCAGGGGAATACCACAATTTTGGTCATTGTGGATCGGTTTTCCAAGGCCTGTCGTCTCCTCCCAATGCCGGGTCTCCCTACTGCCCTACAGACCGCCGAGGCCCTATTTACCCACGTGTTCCGGCACTATGGGGTCCCCGAGGATATTGTGTCTGACCGAGGTCCCCAGTTTACCTCCAGAGTCTGGGGGGCGTTCATGGAACGCTTGGGGGTCTCGGTGAGCCTTACCTCGGGGTACCACTCAGAGAGCAATGGGCAGGTTGAACGAGTCAACCAGGATGTGGGTAGGTTTTTGAGGTCCTATTGCCGGGACCGGCCGGAGGAGTGGTCCAGGTATATCCCCTGGCCCACTCCAAGAAGATGAGATAGGAGAGACCCCTCCGCCCCCTTTGGACATCGAGGGGGCCCCGGCGTACAGGGTCCGGACCATCTTGGACTTGAGGCGCCGGATGAGTGGTCTCCAGTATCTCGTGGAGTGGGAGGGGTACGGTCCGGAGGAACGGTGCTGGGTGCCTAGGAGGGACATCCTCGATCCATCCCTCCTGACTGAGTTCCACCGTGGGCATCCCACGCGCCCGGGTCCGCGTCCTCCTGGCCGTCCCCGAGGCCGGGGTCGGCGCACGGCTGGAGCCGCGCGTCAAGGGGGGGGGTACTGTCACGGTTTCGGCCGAGACTGCTCCTCCTCCTGGTTCGGGCAGGCTTCGGCGTTCGCCGTCCCCGGAGTACTAGCTGCCACCGTTGTATGTTTCGTGGTGTGATTGCTTTAGTCTGTCTTGTACACCTGTGTCTGTTTGTGTTCTGATTACGTGTCTTATAAGTTCCCTGTTTTGTATTAGTTAGATTGTGTGTTGTTGTTTGCCTGTCGTGCGGAGCTGCGTGTTTGCGCTCTGTTAGCTTTGTTTATTGTTTTACGCATGTTGCGTAATTCCCTCGCCTCCGTTTGTTTTCGAGGTCGTGTACTGTTTTGTTGAACTTTGGACTAGTAAAGTATTTTGGACGAATCCTCTGTGTCCTGCGCCTGACTCCTCCACCACATCCACATCGGTTCTTTTGACACCTACTAACGGGACATTAAAAACTTTAATATGTTTCACCGAGTCGTGGCTGAACGACGACATGAATAACATACAGCTGGCGGCCTATACACTGTATCGGCAGGATAGAGCAGCAGCCTCTGGTAAGACAAGGGGTGGTGGTCTATGTATATTTGTAAACAACAGCTGGTGTATGATATCTAAGGAAGTCTCGAGGTTTTGCTCGCCTGGTGTAGACCACACTATCTACCAAGAGTTTTCATCTATATACTTCGTAGCTGTCTATTTACCAGCACAAACCGATGCTGGCACTAAGACCGCACTCAATGAGCTATATACAGCCATAAGCAAACAGGAAAATGCTCATCCAGAGGCGGCGGTTCTAATGGCCGGGGACTTTAATGCAGGGAAACTTAAATCTGTTTTACCTCATTTCTACCAGCATGTTAAATGTGCAACCAGAGGGAAAAAAAACTCTAGACCACCTTTACTCCACACACAGAGACGCGTACAAAGCTCTCCCTCGCCCTCCATTCGGCAAATCTGACCATAATTCTAACCTCCTGATTCCTGCTTACAAGCAAAAACTAAAGCAGAAAGCACCAGTGACTTGGTCAATAAAAAAGTGGTCAGATGAAGCAGATGCTAAGCTACAGGACTGTTTTGCTAGCACAGACTGGAATATGTTCCGGGATTCTTCCGAAGGCATTGAGGAGTACATGGCCGTGTGGTGCCAGGATTACAACCTCTCCCTCAACATGATCAAGACAAAGGAGATGATTGTGGACTACAGGAAAAAGAAGAGGGCCGAGCACGCCCCCATTCTCATCGACGGGGCTGTAGTGAAGCAGGTTGAGAGCTTCAAGTTCCTTGGTGTCCACATCACCAACAAACTAACATGGTCCATGCACACCAAGACAGTTGTGAAGAGGGCACAACAAAACCTATTCCCCCTCAGGAGACTGAAAATATTTGGCATGGGTCCTCAGATCTTCAAAACGTTCTACAGCTGCAACATCGAGAGCATCCTGACTGGTTGCATCACTGCCTGGTGTGGCAACTGCTCGGCTTCCGACCGCAAGGCACTACCGAGGGTAGTGCGTACGGCCCAGTACATCACTGGGGCCAAGCTTCCTGCCATCCAGGACCTCTGTACCAGGCGGTGTCAGAGGAAGGCCCATGGGGCGGCACACAATTGGCCCAGCGTCGTCCAGGTTAGGGGAGGGTTTGGCTGGCAGGGGTATTCTTGTCCCGTCGCGCACTAGCGACTCCTGTGGCGGGCCGGGTGCAGTGCACGCTGACACGGTCGCCAGGTGTACGGTGTTTCCTCCGACACATTGGTGCAGCTGACTTCCGGTTTAAGCGTGCATTGTGTCAAGAAGCAGTGTGGCTCGGCTGGGTTGTGTTTCAGAGGACCCATGGCTCTTGACCTTCGCCTTTCCCGAGTCTGTATGGGAGTTGCAGCGATGGGACAAGACTGTAACTACCAATTGGATACCTCCAAATTGGGGAGAAAAAGTATTTTTATATATATATTTTTTATAAAATATTTTTAAAAAGACTCCAGCCACCCTAGTCATAGACTGTTCTCTCTGCTACCGCACGGCAAGCGGTACCGGAGTGCCAAGTCTAGGTCCAAGAGGCTTCTAAACAGCTTCTAACCCCAAGCCATAAGACTACTGAACATCTAATCAAATGGCTACCCAGACTATTTGCATTCCCCCCCTTCCGCTTTTACGCTGCTGCTACTCTTTGTTTATTATCAATGCATAGTCACTTTAATAACTCTACCTACATGTATATATTACCTCAATTGCCTCAACTAACCAGTGCCCCTGCACATTGACTCTGTGCCGGTGCCCCCTGTATATTGCCTCACTATTGTTATTTTACTGCTGCTCTTTAATTATATGTTACTTTTATTTTATTTTTTAGGTATTCTTTCTTAAAACGGTATTGTTGGTTAAGGGCTTGTAAGTAAGCATTTCACTGTAATGTCTACACCTGTTGTATTTGGGTGCATGTGACAAATATAATTTGATTTGATTTGATTTTGATCATAATCCAACAATATTATGATAATTCAGATCAATCTCAGTCTATTTCATTGATCTTCATGGGCTTTATTTAAGCTAGGTACATTCTGGATTAAATGCATTTTTCTTTTCCCTTTATCCCTTTATTTGGGAAGCAGCCACATTAGACCGTTTCATATCTGTAAAATCTGAATGCACTGGTTGACCAAGACTGACTGGTAATTAGGGGGACTGTCAGATATGTAAATATCTCCCAGCTTGGTACAGGATCGTGAATAATCATACATCATATTCAAATCACTCCTCGAAATGAAACTTAACGTATAATCAGTACGGTGCTTTCAGATTGTGACTCTGACTTTCTGACTTGTGTCATCCTCAATTATTCTATTTATGCATGTTCCTTTTTACATCTGTTTTTAAAAGTGTCAAAATAAACTAAACTAAAACCTGTTTCTTATTTGCTCCATATTGTGTGTGTAGAGGACAAGGTGTGGACAGTGGTGACACACAACAGCACAGATCCAGTCAGTGTCCAGGGTTCTACACTCCAGAAGCCCTACATAACGAAGTTCAATTACAGCGCCTCACCTGAACAACTGATGGCCCTCGTGGCCGGGTCAGTGCAGTGTCAACAGGAAGTAGTATACAGCTGCAGGAAGTCCCGCCTCTTTAACACTTGGGGTGAGCATTTCCTGTATTGGCTTGCAACGTGATTGAAACCTGATCTCCTCAAAACAGTTCAGTTACAGATATTTAGCACATTTCACTTAGCAGGCATCCGAAGCACAACCCATTTAATACCCATTGTTTGTCCATGAAGAGTTTGTTTATTCCCAGCTGTATAAGTTCTATTGAACATTGTTTGTGTGCTGTCGCATGGGGAGTTGAAGAATTCATCTAGCTAGTGAGACCCCTTTATTCCCTCAGTTTTCTCATCGCTTGGGGAGAACTCAACTATAGGTTCATCTTTTATGAAAAATGTAGTCAGATCTCTATGAGGTGAATACAATGTCACCGCAGACAATAAACAAGTTTATTATGCCCAAACAACAAGATAATTAAAGGAAAAAAATAGTGTTATTTTCAGGCCCAGTAGATATGAAACAAAACATAATTGCTTTCATTGTTTGCTTGAACGCTTCAGAAACCGCTGCTGTCTAAAAAAGAAGAGATTTAAAAACACAGCTCACTGTAATTTGACTTGCAAACAACAGATGTGATAGAAACAGGAAGATTCGGTGTAATTGTATAAATGCTGACAGATAATTTGTTCGTTCGACATGTTGGGATCTTTTTTTGTCAGTAAAATGTATAATGCAGGAAATGGCAGTGGAAACGCCTTTAAAGCACAAATATTGGTATAATAACCATCATATCGAAGTAAATTTGGAGTCACGCGATGATATGGTGTGTGGTCCTCCTACTACAACTCAGGAAACCATTCAGTTTATTAGGCTACAGATAAAATAAGTTATCATGAACTTCACAGGGTGGTGAAAGTGCACGGTGATCAGCTTGATGCTGCTTCTTGATGCTGCTTTCCAATAAATATCGAGGGTCTTATTCTGGTGACATGATGATCGATGCTTGACTACCGTTTGACAAATAAAAACATTCTCTCTCTTATCCATAATAATCTCATCATGTAGACTAGCCAACCCTCACAGCCTACTGTATCTACGTGCTGTTGGCTAGAGCGCAGGTACCAAGGCCAGAGTAGGCACATTTGCTATTTAACACAACAGTTATTGTGACAAAACTATCGGTAAAGTTGAAAATGCCATGGAAACACATTGAACTTTCAATTTGTATTCAGTACATGAAAACTTAAGCGAAAAAGTACATTTTGTGTGCGCTACGTCATCACGCACTGATTTTTATCCTCAACAAGTCAGTTTAGTAGAAACATACCACTTGTGGGAAAATGCTCATATTTTCTTTATGCGGATTCTAGAATATTCACATGAAAATCTGTCGCCAATTGGATGGAATCCTAGCTAGTGATGCACTTTCTATCCTGCTATATGAAAGATGGCTTTTTTCATTCTACATCATAAGAAGCTTTACAGAAAGGTTATCATTATGGCCAGGCCTACACTTCATTTGCCAGAGACAGAACTAGATCCATATGCTAAATATAAGCTGCATAATGTGCAAAGCTGAAAGAGGTTAAACTAAAGCAAACAAGAATGGATTTGTAAAAAGCGGATTATCTTAACATGATAACATCTACTCCACATGTACATATTTCATTTGCATGAAAAAGGGAAACTTTATTTAGCTCACCTTTTCACTATAATGACAGTAAGATCTTACATAACATTATTTTTGAGTAACAGGAACTTACCGTTTACCCTCACCATTTATCTAGATGAAAGCATCACTTTGTCTCTCCTGTCATTGAAAATTCCAAGTGATTTATTCTCTGGAAGGGTCTTGATAAATACATTCTTCCTAACTCCTTGAGACGGTAACTCATCTCCCTATACGGAAATATAGATTTAATCAGATCTTCCACTGTGTTTGAGCACGTTTGGAAACCAATTTCCTCATGATTACTTTGATTTAACTGGAAAACAAGACACAGACACCACTACTGCATTTTGTTGAATTATTAACCTGGCTCTTATCCCAGACCTACCTAAACCATAAAAACCAGGATTACTGTATATCCTGTCTCAAACTATATCGGACGCTAATGGAAAGCAAACAACTGATTTATTGCGATTCATCACGATGGTTGAAATTTTGTGAAAGAATCTTGATGCAAGTATTAAAGTCAAGGTCAGGCTATATCAAGCATAATTTTAGCATCAATGCATGAATATGGGGAAATCCTCTTGGTGTAGAATTACCACCAATCCAAACCCATAAAGTATAGTATATACTCATCCTATTTCCATATAATTTCTTATTCCTAAACCATTTCTGTATTCGGTGGTCTATTCAGCTTTGTTTCAATTGAGTAACAATGGCAATTTGACATGATGAACAAAGGCAGAATGATATTGGATAACATGCTTTGGTACACTGTAATCCGTTACCCACAACATACACTGTCAATGTCAGTCAGTGTGACTTGACCAGTATCACTGTCACAAGCCCCCCATGCCCACACTTATCAAATTACTCTCAATGTAATGTTTCCATTATACGGTCCCCACTCTCCCACCACTCTCCTGTCTTAAGAGTACAGTCTGAGAGCTAAGAGGCTGCTCCCTGCAGGCCTGTAGTGTCTCTAATGCAGAGTCATATTGTCTGACGGATGGCTGTAGCGGGGCCACTTACAGATGCTCCAGGAAATGAGCCCTGGGTGTCTGACTGGCGTCACTGAGGGCTCATTGACACAATGCCATGGGATGCCAACAGATGCCCAGGGCTCTAATCACAGTCACTGCACAGATAATGCTACTCTATATGTGGATCTAATTGTAATACTGTGGTTGGTGCAGATGGCAGCCCCCTGTCCTGGTGGGTGGACCAGGGTGGAGAGAGACGGACCTACTGGGGAGGCTTCCTGCCGGGGGTTCAGCAGTGCTCCTGCAGCCTGGAGGAAAACTGCATGGACATGAACTACTTCTGTAACTGTGATGCTGACACAGACTCATGGTAACAATGCAAATGGCTCTCTGTGTATCTACTGCCCTGTCCATTTTTATTTTTTATTTAACCTTTATTTAACTAGGCAAGTCAGTTGAGAACAAATTCTTATTTACAATGACGGCCTACACCGGCCAAACCCGGACGACGCTGGGCCAATTGTGCGCTGCCCTATGGGACTCCCAATCAGGGCTGGTTGTGATACAGCCTGGAATCGAACCAGGGGGTCTGTAGTGACGCCTCAAGCACTGAGATGCAGTGCCTTAGACCGCTGCGCCATCAATATGATTTAGCTACAAATCTGTGTGCATATCTTTTAATTCTTGTCCCATCTTATATTTCCACATTTCTACAGTATTCAGTATATTACCTTGTGTCAAATATTGAGATTAAGTGGGTCATGACAGGGGAGGCGTGTGTTCTATCATTGTTTGATTCCTTCCACAGAGAGCATACTCTCCTCTCTGTATTGCAGGGCTAATGACACAGGAGTCCTCTCCTACAAAGAGCACTTACCAGTGAGTGAGATCGTGATTGGAGACACCAGCAGAAAAGGCTCTGAGGCGCTCTACAGAATCGGCCCACTGTGTTGTTATGGTGACAGTAGGTGAACTCTTCTGTTTTGTGACATTTTTATCTTACAGATGGTCCCTTTAAACATCCTTGTTTTTCCAGGCCAAATGCTGATGAAATATTGAGTATGTTCAAATGCTCCACTCAGTCCCAAGATATTCATCCTCATCTCTGTATCTTTCTTATGTGAGTCAAGACTTTCCTCTAAGAAGAAATGTGTATTTCCTGTTTTCTAGAGTCTGTGTGGAATGCAGCGTCCTTCTACCAGGAGTCATCCTACCTGCACTTCCCGACCCTCCAGGCAGAGCTCAGCACTGACATCTCCTTTTACTTCAAGACCAGCGTCCCATCAGGAGTCTTTCTGGAGAACCTGGGCCTCAAGCACTTCATCAGACTCGAGCTCAGCTGTGAGTTTGTGGGCCACACACGCACACACAAACACACACACGCTCAGAAATAATCTGCACTTCGTTTCATGAGAGCACGACATTACATAAAATCACAAATCTAATCAAATTTTATTGGTTGCGTACACATATTTTGCAGATGTTATCGCAGGTGCAGTGAAATGCTTATGTTTCTAGCTCCAACAGTGCAGTAATACCTAAGAATACAAAACAATACACACAAATCCCCACAAAATTAAGAAAGGAATTAAGAAATATCAGGACAAGCAATGTCAGAGTCTGGAATATAAATATACTTTATATGTATATCATGGTGTGTATAGACATTATGGAGAGTATATTAATAGAAAAGGTGTGTACAGCAGTAGTTATATAGGATGAGCCTTGACATGTGCTTCAAAAAGCTGTCCAAGCTGTCCATCTAGATATAGACTTCATAATGTCATCCAAATGATAAGATGTATTATAAAGTACCATTGCAGTGCTATATCTTTAAGCTGTCAACTTAGCTTTGAATAGATGCAGAAAATGACCCATGTGCCTAGAGAGAGAAAGAGCATAAAAGAGGGTTGGAGGGGTGGCAGGGGGTTGGGACAGGAAATTCTCAGAACTCATTGTGAGGACATACTTCTATTGAAGGGGAAATGTGAGAAACCATTGACAATGGAAGTACAAAATGTGAAAGATGAGTTCTCTGTGACCTGACTGTCAGCTATTCTCCTCCTGTTCTGCTCCCTCAGCTCCGTCCATGGTGACGTTCTCCTTTGACGTGGGAAACGGGGGGGTGGTCCTGGCTGTCAAGTCCCATGTGCCACTGAATGACAGGCAGTGGCACTATGTGAGGGCGGAGCGCAATGTGAAGGAGGCCTCTCTGCAGGTGGACCAGCTGCCCTTGCGCTTCCTGGAAGCCCAATCTGACGGACACCTCCGCCTCCGGCTCAACAGCCAGCTGTTTGTGGGTAGGACTGGCTTGTCCTCATAGCCTTAGTCTCAGTCTCAACAGCCAGCAGTTTGTGGATAGGGCTGGTCTGCTCTTAGTCTCAGTCTCAGTCTCAACAACCAACTGTGTGTTGGTAGGGCTGGCCTTGGCCTCATTAGATAATATAACCCCCCTTAGGAAATATTTTATTTCTTTAGGCAGCCTTTAACAGTGGCCTTTCCCCCTCAAGTTCCACCAGAGATATACTGTATTGTCTCGGTACAGTTGCTATCTCAGGATTTACAGTGTCCTCAAATTTGACAGTAGGTCACTGTATGAATTATAATGCTATTAGATATTCTTTTTCATATTCATTATCATTATTTCACTGTAACTTTCTGGTTATGCCAAGGCATTACACACATGAATGGGTTCCCTATAAGAAATTCCCAATGAGCTTTCCCTGAGATTAAACCTTTATTTGGCCATAAATCTTGATTTGTCATTCAGGGGCTATACTGTTTCTTCTGCTCATAATGGCTTGAAAGGTCAGCCCAACTCTTCATTGTTAAAGATATTCTTCCATATTTGCATATAGTTAGTCTTAATGAGGCCTCTCACACATGAATAGTTCCAGAGAGGTCTTAGATGCTTACTGGAATTCAATCAAGGGTTACAGTAAATCAGTGAGGTGCTTTCATATGTATGAAGACTAGTTAGAAATATGTTATAACATATATAACTTGTCATCTCCTCCTCTAGGGGAAACAGCAGCCAGGCAGTGGGGCTTCAGGGACTGCATTATGTATATAGAGTAGTTATAAATCTGTAATAGGCATTATTAACTAGTTATAACCTGCAGTCTCACCTCTAGGAGGAACAGCAGCTAGTACTCAGTGGAATATTATGCATGATATACTAGTTATAAATGTGTTATAATTCTGTAAAAGCCATATTAAGTCATTATAACCTGTGGTCCCTCCTCCAGGGGGAACAGCAGCCAGGCAGAGGAGCTTCATGGGCTGTATCAGAACTCTGACTATAAACGGCATGACCTTTAACCTGGAGGAGCGGGCTAAGATGACCCCGGGCGTAAGTGCCGGCTGCCCCGGCCACTGCAGCGGCTCCAGCCGTCTCTGCCACAACAGAGGGAGGTGCATCGAGAAGAACAGCGGCTACGTCTGTGACTGCTCCCAGTCTGCTTACGGGGGACCCTCCTGCAAGGAAGGTCTGTGAGGATATGCCCCAAAAATTTGATGTAAATGGGTTCACTCATGAGATTGTCTATGATGAATTATTAAATGGAAAAACACTTAAAACACAATGATTAAGACATAAGAATAGGCTTACACTTTGAAATTATTAATAATTTATCTAATACAGTTAGTACTTCGAACTTGCCCCAGGTCCTCATCACACTGCATGTATTATACAATAGAGTGATGACATCTATATGCAACTGGTACTGTACAGCAAGGGGTGTAACAGTACACGTATTCATGCCGAACCATTCAGTGGCCGATCATCCATCATCGTTTAAATCTACAATTTGGGAACATTTTGACTTCCCAGTAGATTACAACGGTGATGGACAAAGAGTTGTGGATAAAATGTAACAGTATGTCGCCACGCTCAATGAGAATAGCCTATGCAGCTGCCAACACCTCAAATATGTTGACACATCACCCCGGTATACCGGAGCAAGACGGAAACGCAAAGAGAAAACAACACAACATCGTCTCCCCTCTGCATTCAAGCATTCCTTGCAGCTGATTCTGACCGGGCCAAAGAAATTACAAGAGTGATAGGTAGGCTATGCTTATATTTTGTAGTCTTTGGTTTATAGACGCGGATATGCGCCCATTCATGGTGGTTGAGAATGGGGGGTTTCAGCACCTCATGAAAGTGCTCGAGCCACGTTACGAACTTCCCTCTAGCACCCATTTCAGCAAACACTTAATACCTACTCTATAGATGGGTTTGTTGTTTAGCAACAAAACCAAGGCGTGCGCAACTATGGGGCAAAACAGACGGGGTTGGCTTAGATTGTTGACAACATGTAAACAATATTTAGTCTTCAATGTTTATTGAAAACAGAAATAAATGTGCACAATGAGCACTTGTTGACCCTTAAATACATCGTTACAGTTGTTGGTTAGCTAGCTAGCAAATTTTGCCATATTAGCATTGACATGAAATCAGTCAAAACACCTCAAACAAGACATGGTATCAAGAACAAGATGAAACTAGATGAAACAAGCCACTTACAATTCCCCACATTGTAGTCCTGTTATTGTTGCTAGCCATCTGGCCATCCAGTCACAACAACTCACAGACTTCTGCCCTATTGAACCGTACGCATTGTGTTAGTGACGTTGTCAGCTAACCCAGCTATATAAACAAGCCAAAGCCAACGTTTTCAATGAATTGGCCAATTCACCCTGTGTTACGCTTACTTAACAGTGACAGCCCATCACATTACCCCAGAGTGAGAGATGTACCGTGCTACAGACATGCCCCCTTTATGAGAGTCACAACTGTGCATCTGGCACTCAAGGTGGCAGTGTCATGGTACGTTCCTAACTAAGTGGGAAGTGGGAATTTACCACATACGACTGTGAATAATCCTCTTGAACGGCCCTCCAACTGGTAATTACTAGTGGGAAACTCGTCTATCATCCTGAGCACCCACTTCTCCCACATGGTGACTTCTGACGTCACCTACTAAGGAAACAGACATTTTTGGCAGTTAAATGCAACAGCAAAACATAATTTATAAAAAAGCAATCTATTATTGTGTTTTTTTTTTACTCTATAATTTGTTTACAAGCATGATAGCTGTACAGTCGTGGTCAAACGTTTTGAGTATGACAAGTATTGGTCTTCACAAAGTTTGTTGCTTCAGTGTTTTTAAATATTTTTGTCAGATGTTACTATGGTATACTGAAGTATAATTACAAACATTCCATAAGTGTCAAAGGCTTTTATTGACAATTACATGAAGTTGATGCAAAGAGTCAATATTTGCAGTGTTGACCCTTCTTTTTCAAGACCTCTGCAATCCGCCCTGGCATGCTGTCAATTAACTTATGGGCCACATCCTGACTGATGGCAGCCCATTCTTGCATAATCAATGCTTGGAGTTTGTCAGAATTTGTGGGTTTTTGTTTGTCCACCCGCCTCTTGAGGATCGACCACAAGTTCTCAATGGAATTAAGGTCTGGGGAGTTTCCTGGCCATGGACCCAAAATTTAGATGTTTTGTTCCCCGAGCCACTTAATTATCACTTTTGCCTTATGGCAAGGTGCTCCATCATGCTGGAAAAGGCATTGTTCGTCACTAAACTGTTCTTGGATGGTTGGGAGAAGTTGCTCTCGGAGGATGTGTTGGTACCATTCTTTATTCATGGCTGTGTTCTTAGGCAAAATTGTGAGTGAGCCCACTCCCTTGGCTGAGAAGCAACCCCACACATGAATGGTCTCAGGATGCTTTATTGTTGGCATGACACAGGACTGATGGTAGCACTTACCTTGTCTTCTCCGGACAAGGTGTTTTCAGGATGCCCCAAACAATCGGAAAGGGGATTCATCAGAGAAAATGACTTTACCCCAGTCCTCAGCAGTCCAATCCCGGTGGCTTCTTTGCTGCCCTTCTTGACACCAGTCCACCCCCCAAAAGTCTTCGCCTCACTGTGCGTGCAGATGCACTCACACCTGCCTGCTGCCATTCCTGAGCAAGCTCTGCACTGGTGATGCCCCGATCCCGCAGCTGAATCAACTTTAGGAGACGGTCCTGGCGCTTGCTGGACTTTCTTGGGCACCCTGACGCCTTCTTCACAACAATTGAACCTCTCTCCTTGAAGTTCTTGATGATCCGATAAATGGTTGATTTAGGTGCAATCTTACTAGCAGCAATATCCTTGCCTGTGCAGCCATTTTTGTGCAAAGCAATGATGACGGCACGTGTTTCCTTGCAAGTAACCATGGTTAACAGAGGAAGAACAATGATTTCAAGCACCACTCTCCTTTTAAAGCTTCCAGTCTGTTATTCTAACTCAATCAGCATGACAGATTGATCTCCAGCCTTGTCCTCATCAACACTCTCACCTGTGTTAACGAGAGAATCACTGACATGATGGCAGCTGGTCTTTTTGTAGCAGGGCTGAAATGCAGTGGAAATGTTTTTTGGGGATTAAGTTCATTTTCATGGCAAAGAGGGACTTTGCAATTAATTGCAATTCATCTGATCACTCTTCATGACATTCTGGAGTATATGCAAATTGCCATCATCAAAACTGAGGCAGCAGACTTTGTGAAAATTAGTATGTGTCATTCTCAAAACTTTTGACCACGACTGTACTTTTAGTTTATGGTTGATGCAGCATGTTGGCCATTAGCCAATCTGCGTTTCTCAACGAGTTCAAATCACATGAATCCATCCAACTGGTATTTACAACTTCACAACTGGTACATTTCCACCTACCACATGGTTACAAACGCAGCATCAGAGTGGAAACTTGAGAAGCCCAACATAACAATCGTGTCACAACAGACAATGCCATGAACATTGTGAATGCTGAACATTGTGAATGGCATTTCATTTTCCCGCTGTACCGAAACCGAACTGAACCGTGACCCCAAAACCGCAATAGGTACCGAACCGTGGGTTTGGTGAACCATTACACCCCTATGTACAGCTCTCCACTCCCCTGTGGAAAAGTACTTTTTATAACCTTGCTAGGTTTTGAGCCCTCATACTTTACAACAGAAGCCCTGTTTATACCTGGTTCTATCATGTATCCTTTGTCCTGATCTTGTCCACATTCTGATTGTGCCCATCTTTTTTGACAAGTGTAGATGATTAATAAAAGACGCATTGAAATCTGATTGTGATCAGATCTTCCTCAACACCTACCGAGGTAGTCAGACGCATTGTGTCTGGATATCTTACAAGTGTAGACGGATCTCCACAGTGAAACCATTTCAATCATCATCCCGTCCTATAAAACATTGACACATATTGATGCCATTGACTTATGGCATCAATATGTGTCTTAAAATAAATAAATATTATTTTGAAAGAATATCTCTCAAATAATTAGCATAGAGGGAGGGACCAGGATATCTGATCACAATGCAGAGACAGTGGACAGATAAGAGACACATTTTACTACCATGTGTTGATGCAACAGCTACAATGTGGGCACAATCTGAAAGTGAATAAGATCAGGACAAAGGACACATGGGATGCGTTTACACAGGCAGCCCAATTCTGATATTTTTTTCACTAATTGGTATTTTCACCAATCAGATCAGCTCAGAATTTTTTTTTGAAAATACTAATTAGTGGAAAAAAGACCTGAATCCGGCTGCCTGTGTAAACACAGCCATGTTAGCCCCAGGTATAAACGAGGCTAGAAATAGCAGTTTTTAAGCAAAAAGCATGATGTAGTGACCGCCACATGTGTGGGATTCTTGCATATTTTGAGATAGTTTGTTTTCTTCTGAAGCACTGGATGTACTTGTTCCTGAGCCACTTTCCAGTTAAAGCAATCCTTGCCTTCAATCATGCTTAAGAAAAAAAGCAATATTGACTTATCATAACCCTGTTCTGTCTTTGTAGATTCTTCTTTATTTCCACTGTAGGCTCTTTTGTGGGTGGACCGCTATTCATTCTCTTTCCGCTAAGTCATGACTTGTTATGAAACTTAGTTATGAAAACATAAAACTCGCTGAGAATGTGCTTAGACAGCGCTATAGTTATGCAATATCTGTCTTTGTCCATGAATAATTTTGAAAAGAACGGGGGAAGAGAAAATAACAGAATATTTGGAGAGGTGTTCACTTTGCTCTTAAAGTGGAGGTGTTGAGATCAGTGGCATTCAGAGGGCAGATTGGAGTACATCTGAAAAAGAGATCAAAGAGGGAGAGGATGAGATGACAGATCCTTGCTGCTCTGCTGTCTCTGGTCTGTCTGAGAGGATCCGGCTCTCACATTCACACTAATCTAGGCCTCCATTATCATGGAGCACACACTTCCTTAACAAAGGGTGGTCTGTTTATTATAGGAGGTACATTTTGTTCTATTTCGTCCAATGACATTGACAGAACGTGTAATTGTCAAGAGTGTTTGTGATTTTTTAAATTCTGACTGGTGATTAGGTTCAGCTAAGTGCAGCTACAACTTATAGAATGTGATCAACAATATATCTAATGAATTCAGTGTATGACAGCATGACTCCCCTAATGATCCATCGTCTCACTCTGTGTCCATGCAGAGGTGTCTGTGTCATTTGACAGAGAGTCGTCGGTGACCTACACCTTCCAGGAGCCTTTCTCTGTGATGCAGAACAGGAGCTCCCAGGCCTCCAGCGTCTACAGAGAGAGCAGCAGGGCCAGAGAGAACATGGCTTTCAGCTTCATGACCACACAAAGCCCTGCCATGCTGCTCACTGTCAGCACCTTCAGCCAGCAGTACATAGCTGTAATCCTGGCACTCAATGGTAGGGACACCTCTACTACTCATTTGTCTGTAGTAGTGGAGGCTGCTGAGGGGAGGACGGCTTATAATAATGGCTGGAATGGAGTGTAAAAGTTGGCACTCCACCAAGGCTTTAGCAAAGGGGGTTATAATGGCTCAATTAGCTAGCAGAGTGCAACTCTAAATTCAGAATTTAATCTCATTATATGGAGGAGTGTTTTCTCCCATTGTACCTCACAGCAAAGGGCTGAAAGAACCAAGTTGCCTTGTGCAACTTTCAACACAAATAATGCAATCCATTTTTATAGAAAGATGGAATTATAGTCCCTTCACAAGTATGGAACAAGTAATGTGTCATGTTTAAAATATTTCCATCCATTACATAACGGACAGGAATAAAAAAAGAATTTAACCTTGACAGATCCAGGTTCAGCAATGCGTCTAAGCCTATTCAGCCTCATCCATAACGAAGCTTTGAGTGCTCCAGATCACGCACCTTAGACCTCTAATCTGACAGCCTTCCAAGTAGAACAGAAAGCCCATCAACATCGTGTTGAGTTACACTCGTTGTTCTTTAAGTTGTTGCTCCTTTATGCTCTTTTGTGTTCATCGGGGCGTGTGGAAGAGTCACGCCTTTGTAAATATTGGAGGATCAGGAGGACACTTCATCCACAGTAATCTCCGGCACCCGGGCACTGTCAGGGGTTTCTCAAACAAAACATAAAACCATTCGCCAACTGAGCTGGAATTGTAATATTGACCCATCTTCACTTGATAATGTAAAGCTCTCTGCCTCTCTGATCTAGTGTCGTGTGTGTGGGAGGACCATTGAGGCTGTTTGAGGATAACTATTTATACATCTACAGATGTAGGATCTTAATTTAATCACTCTTTTGTTGAGGAGAATGTTCCTGCACAGCAGGAAATGCAAACATGTTGTGTAGTGTATTGTGTAAGGTTTCTGAAATTTGTAATTTCCACTTTTAAAATTTGCCCTAACGTAAAATGTATCAACCATTACAAAAAATATCCATGAATGATAATCCACATAATAATTCACATTTCCTGTTGCCTCAGGATTATTTTCCTGCTGTAGCAAACTGGCTCAAATTAAGATCCTACATCTGTAAAGAGGTAACTGTGGGGGCATCAATAGAGAAGCACACTGAGTGTACAAAACATTAGGAACACCTTCCTAATATTGAGTTGCACCCCCTTTTGCCCTCAGAACCGACTCAATTTGTCAGTTCATGGACTCTACAAGGTCTTGAAAGCATTCCACAGGGATGCTGGCCCTTGTTGACTCCAATGCTTCCTACAGTTCTGTCAAGTTGGCTGGATGTCTTTTGGGTGGTGGACCATTCTTGATACACACGGGAAACTGTTGAGCGTGAAAAACCCAGCAGCATTACAGTTCTTGACACACTCAAACCGGTGCGACTGGCACTTACTACCATACGTCTTTCAAAGGCACTTTAATCTGAATGGCACACATACACAATCAATGTCTCAATTGTCTCAAGGCTTAAAATCCTTCTTTAACCTATCTCCTCTCTTTCATTCAGTCATAATGATCTTTTTGTTCGCATTCCAAACTAAATGCTCTTTGGTTCTCGGCTTTCCAAACTCATTTAGATTGATTGATGTGCGTGGGGCATTGAATAGGTTAAGGTGAGGTGAGCCTCATGAGATAAGTTTAGCTATTTAAAGGTTATTCTCAAGCCTCTGGCTTTTTAATGATTAAACAACTCTTGGGACAATCTCATAGGCACAGCTCATGGAAAATTGACGTATTCAAAGAAACAAGCCAATAACATTTCCAAAGCACCATAAGGGCAATTGATGGATATTTCAAAATAAGTTTTCATTTTGGTGCATACTTTAGCCCGAATGATAACTAGAGATATTTGCATAGTCTTCACATTGACTTCGATGCATAATTTAAACAAGTCCAATAGTCCCACACATTAAGGTAAGTTTTAGATCTTTCAATGCATAGTTTTCACCCAGTTTGTGTTGTGTTCTGCAGGGAGTCTCCAGATCTGGTATCGTCTCCATGTGGACAGGAAGCCAGATGTGTTCAGCCCCAGCCCCAGCAGCCTGGCAAACGGATGCCTCCACCGTATCAGAATCCACCGTCAGGGGAAAGATGTCTACCTACAGGTGAGCAATGGAGACATGTACAAGAGGTGTAGATCCTGTGCATTGTAATTCCATCACAGCATCTGGGCAATATTGTTATCGTTATGAAAGTGCTGTAGTTCCCAATCAATTTAGCTGGACTACAGAAAACTGCAGCCATTTAGATGAATCAGTATTTCCTGTAATCCTTGTTTTTATTTTTTGATTACTTTCCACTTTCCCCCAGATCGACCAGGACATCCACAGAAAGTACACCCTGTCATCTGATGCAGAGTTGATCTTAATCAGATCCTTGACTTTGGGCAAAGTCATTGGTAAGCCCGCCTATGAAATGATACTGCCATGCATGGAGCTATTTTGAATAAAGGAATGAGGAGGACCACGCTCACACGTGTGCTGTTTCATGACTTTATGTGATACTGTTCACACCTATTTCTCCACATTTTCAAACCCGTTCTCAGAATAGCTTTTGTAAGCCCGGACTTGCAGATTGAAAGATTTGACCATCACTGCTGAAGCATAATTATTTGTATATCCCTCACTGCTGTTGCCATAGAAACCTTTATCTTTAATTCAGGAGGCAAAGGAGGCTGAATCTAATAAAGGCTGAATAAAGATTAATTGACGGGGCCTAAAAGGGTTCTGTCAGAGAGCAAATAAAAGTTGTATACAATAACCTAAGCAGAAAGCCAATTCTCTCTCTCTCCTACTCACTCACTCCTCTAATCAACAGCATACAAATGAAGATCTATTAAAAATGCTCTGCATACATATATTCCACAATGACTAACTTGTACATCATAATAGATATCTGTTTTGTTTGTTTTAGGTTAAAATAAACTTGTTCTCTTGTGAGATGACTTTCTTTCCAGTGAGAGACTATACTGCTATAACAGTTCAATGTTAATTCTGAATTACAGGAGGAGAGAATTTTGATGAGGAAGTGATGCAGGCAGGATCTAAGGGCTTCTTTGGCTGCCTGTCATCAGTTCAGTTCAATCACGTGGCTCCACTGAAGGCAGCGCTACTAAACCGTGGCAGCTCATTGGTCAGCGTACGGGGTCACCTGGTGGAGTCAAACTGTGGGGCGCTGGCTGACTCAACAACCTTACACCCACTCTCAGGTAAGCTATTGTAAAACACAGTCTCCACTCAGCTAGCTGGATAAAACTCAGGTCGAACAAATACATTTGTTTGTTTACTATGCCACAGCTGTTCAGCTTTCATACTGGAAGCCATTTAAAGGTGTGTGGGATCAACTGTGGATGTTCAGTTTTGCCTCCGGCTTAAAGCATCCTTATTACATTTCAGGGATAAATCAGGAACGAATCGAGACCACAATGAGCTGATGCCTGACAGCCTAATGGAAGTTTTGTTTATCATTGTTTACGCAGTTACCAAAATATGTTATCTTCTGCCACATACAGCCTGTTGAGGAACATCCATTGGCTGCACAGCTCGTTCACTCATTACTGAAAGTTAATTAATTAGCTGGCTTCTCTTTTCTTCTCTGCCAGATCAAGCTGCGAAACCAAACAAAGATAAGGAGCAGCATGGCAATGACACCCGGCATGATTCAGCAGTAATAGGAGGTTCGTTTCTCTATTTTGTCTTAATTTATTGTTCCTGTGTTAATATGAAATTAGCCTCAGATGTCACTTTGTCTGACTTTCTTTTTCTTTCTTCCTTTCTCTTACTCTCTTACCTTACACTAGTTTTTTTTGGTTGTCTCATTGTTGAGTCCTTGATAACCTAACCTGTGATGTCACAACCAACCCTTGCTCATCTACAGGTGTGGTGACAGCAGTGGTCTTCATCACTCTGTGTGTGGTGGCGGTGATGACCCGTTTCCTGTACCAACACCGGCAAGCCCAGAGAGACGCCAGCATCAAGGAGAAGGAGCACCGACACAACCTGGAAACAGCCTACCGGAGAGAAGCAGCCTACCAGGCAGAACCAGCCTACCGGACAGAGCTCCACCTCCATGACAGCTCCACCCTCAGGGACAACAGGGAGTACTACATCTGACCACAGCATCCAGCCAAGCCTTCTAGCCATCGCTGCTTACCTCTATTCTGTTTTGTCTAGCTGTCTGCATGGCAGGAGGCACCCAGACTTTTTTCCCTCGCTCCTCTGGGGTAGAAATGAAGAATTCCTTCTCCTTTAGGGAACTGTGGGAATATCCTGGTGGGGAACGTCTTTCCATTTCTGTGTAGATATTTCGTAGGACAGGACTTGTAGCTGCAAAGATGTTGACCGGTCGGCTCACGAACGCTGGTGATGGGACAGGAAAACGGTGCCATAAAGAGATTGAAGCATATGGGTATGGTGCAATGGATTTATCCAATGATAGAAATGCAAAGAGCCTGGAAAGGTTAGAATAGAAAGGCAATGTTATAGGATATGTAGGTAATGTTATGGTAAAAAGCCACATAGAGGGAAACATGGACAGTGGCACTGTTTTGGTGGCTCAATGTATGTAGATGGCCAAGATGAAACTCTCCCACTGTCATGTGGGGAAGAAATCTCATGTTCTGATGCAGAGAATCTAAGCACAGATGCAATGAATCTATTTCAAATTCTTAAGAAAAGGGTCAGATGTTCAACAGAATGGAATGGTTGAAAAGACTAAATGCAAAGGCCATCTTAGATAATATACTATTGAAAAATACAACGTAAGATAAGTATTGTTTTACTGATCGTGATAATGCAGTGGTTAATTAAGATGAAAATAATTCCACAAGAACTGATATTAAAATTAAATCTCAATTTCAATAAATCCTTAAATAAAGCCATAAAAAAATTAGGTGCCCCAAACCGGTTTCCTACATTATAATTATTTGAAAGTTTGATTTAAAATTCATCTTTCTCCCCAATGTTTCTTGAGGTTTCTAAGCCACAGGCTGGGCTGGATTTATATTGCTGCAAGAAATGGAATGTAAAAATAACCCAGCTAACTGGAACATCTGCTAGCTGTCCCCTAGCAAGAAAACCAACCCATCATATACCACAGAAGTGGCTGCTGGCCAGGGGTTAGAGGAGTCTTCAAAGAGCTGCCATATACAAGGCTTTAGTTGTTCACCCAAGCTCTTTAGATTTTCTTCGTAGATTTTTTATTGTTTTGTTTGTTTCCTTCAGCAAACATTTTGTTCTTTCACACCTTTGATCTGTTCACGCATTTGCGACCATTTTATATTGTATTTTTTATTTGAAGTTTTTAATTAATTGCTTCTGATTGAAGTCAACAGTATCCCTGTGTTAGATCTACAGTATAAGGTGATTAGTATCTACTGGTATTTGATGCTGGATATTGATGCTTAGCGTAGTGTAAATTTTCTCCTAAAATTAAGTGGGAAAGGATAATGAGAACTAAGTGCAAAATATCAAATACATAATAAAAACAGAATGAGAATGAAAATCGTATACGCAAAAGTCTTTGATGACAACAGTTCATAAACACACCATCACAAAATAATACTATTGGCGAAAGTATTGCCTGAAAACATGTTTTCTTTCATATTAAAGTGTCCTTGACAGCAAGTTATGATTAACCTCTGAGACTCTGAAATCCTTTTTGTACTCATGTTGATATTGTGGATATTTTGAGAGACCATTTTGTATGGCTATAATTGTACAGGTATATTATGATATGTTTAATAAAACCAAACATTCTTTTTGAAAAATAACGATCTCTTCCAGAGAAGTTTTATGCTACATAACCTTTATCTCAATCTTTAACTTTCTTATTTTCTCTGATACTTTGTCACACAACCATTTTTCTGGCTCTGAATATGTGTGATTGTGTTTGTTTTTACATGTGTGTAGAAGCATACATAGACCAAGGATGGTAAGAGGTGTTCCTTTGTATTTGGATATAGTAGAAACATTCATTATGCGCTGTGAAACTACATCCTCTCTTCCTATAAATGTTGTTATGGTAAATGTGGTGCAAAATGGAATCTGACCTAATTCAATCACAAAGCCACAGTATTTAATTACTTTAATGCGTGGAAAATTGTATTGTCTCTAAATTAATTGTTCTATCTGCAGTATTTTATCCTGACCAGGCTAGTCAAATATTACAACACAGGGAGATATTCTTATTCATCCAATTAAGTGTCCAATTAAAAAATGAATTCCTGCTATTTTATTTAATTAATTGCATAATAAATGTACTATAGTGGAGTACCCATTTACATTCCCCTTTTTCTATTATAACCTGGTCTAGCCCATGGTTCTGTCAATCATAAAATAACATGGTGTCTCCATGAGCTGTACAGTGGCTTTAGTAGTGTGGCAATAGGCAAGGTCAAGGAAGTTCACTTTCTTCGAAAATACTTTGCATATTGCTAAGTGTTTTTCTTCTCAAAACATAAACGAGCAGAAAGACACCTGAGAAAACCCCTTTTGCGTGCATGCAAACTGGATTGCTCCGGATCTATTAGGGTTGCACAAGGTAGGGTTGTAAATATGTGTCCAGCGAAAGGGAGTATTTTCAAAGATGGATTATGCTGTGTTTGCTGGTATTTGGGGACCCATTTATTAACATATTTTTTGTTTTTATTTGAGATTGTCTTTTTTTTTCACTTTCAGTTTCACTTACTTAGCTAGCAAATAGCTAGTTTAGACTAATGAAACACCCTGCTCAAACAGAGGGATGCTATGTTAGCTAGCTGGCTATGACTGTCCAACACATTTCAGTCATTTAGCAGACGCTCTTATCCAGAGCGACTTACAGTTAGTGAATACATTTTTTTTTTTATACTGGCCCCCCATGGGAATCAAACCCACAACCCTGGCATTGCAAACACCATGCTCTATCAACTGAGCTACATCCCTGCCGGCCATTCCCTCCCCTACCCTGGACGACGCTGGGCCAATTGCGGCCGGCTGCGACAGAGCCTGGATTCGAACCAGGATCTCTAGTGGCACAGTTAGCACTGCGATGCAGTGCCTTAGACCACTGCGCCACTCAGGAGTACTACACAACACTGGAACTCTTCCAAGTCAAGGTAAGCTTTTGGTATTGCTAATTTATTGCCACCGGGTCCTGCCGGTGTAACTGCTTACTGACAATACACTACCATTACTGCATGATTGTAGTGGGTTTACTAACGCATTAGTTCTATTAGTTATGCTGACTATGACGTTACTTTAGCTAATATGGTGACAATGATGCAAGCTGTGTGTAGCGGTTTGACTTGGAAAGGTTTTTTCACCTGGTCACATACAGCTGATGTGTTGTGCATTGAAGTCCACAAGCGAAGGGACAAGGTGAGAGGAGGAGCGCGCTAGAAGGAATACAACATGGCTGCTATGAAAGTTAATTTTGTTTACGTGTGATCAGGGGTGTACTCATTCTGGCGATTCTGTTGAAAAACAGAAGCAAATGGAACAAAAAAAACGGGGATAAACATACATGAATTTGTCCAATAGAAATTATTGTTTGCAACTGTTGGACTAATGATTACACCCTACATCAGCTAGATGTAGGGAAGAGTGTGCAAGGCAGTACTGAATGTCACTGTCTGTCCATGTGTCACTGTCTGTCGCTTCAAATTTGTCTCTCGACCTGTGTGCACCTACGATTGTAAACTTTAATTTATAGGCTAGGTTGTAGCAACCTCATGATGGATATAGGGAAAAATTCTAGTATCATGCAGTAGCCTAAACCTAACGCTGTTACATTGAACTGGGTGAATGGAATATGAATGAGAGTCATCCAATATGCTGTAATAGAAATAAGGCCATGCTCACAAAAAAAAAGGTGTCCTCCCTCATCTTAAACGGCACTGACCACCACTGGTGTACACAAAGCACTCTTTAATGTTTGGCAAATAAATGTGACTGGTTACAGGATCGGGGGCGTTTGACGCTAGTTCCTACTTCACAGTACGGTTGTTTAAAAAAAAGAACTCTGTCTTCTCAAGTTTTGTGGTGGCAGTATCATATTATGGGTATGCTTGTCATTGGCAGGGACTGGGGAGTTCCACAAAATGAGTGCCTTTGATATTTGGAAATTGATATTTAGAAATTGTGCACCAATATGGAATTTTAAAAGCCTGTTATTTTCAATGAAGTGCCCTTCAATATAGACCACATGGAGAATTTGATAAATATGATTTTGTATATGAATAAAGACTTGCTAAAGTGCAAAAAATCTGCATTTTGACATTTCCCTCCAGAAAGCATTAGACCTCTCACTAAAGGCTTCAGTCATACAAAAGTTATACTTAAATCCGAACTGGTTCTCTAGCAGATTAGTAAGAATGTCTCACCCCATGTTCAAGAATGGCCTTTTTCCCTTTATTCAGATTACAACCTCTCACTTTCGGTTACTTGAAAATGAAATCATCTCCAAAATATCACTATTTTTAAAACAAAGTTGGTTGCAATTTCATTTTAATCCACCAGAAAAGACAGAACAAAATTGTTGTTAAACTCAAATATACTAACTGATTTAAAAAAACATTATTTTTCTAAACAATGTTTAAAAAAGGTATAATCTTTGTAAATGATATCATACATGGGACTGGTGGAGTTATTTCCATATATGTTTGTTAGCTGCATGTGTGACATGTCTGCTCTACCCAAAATTACAACCAACTATTTGCAGCATTACCACAAAAATGGAAGAGGCAAGTGGAAGAGGGTAAAGTAAGGAACTTGTCTGTTGGCCCTGCATTAAAGAAAATTATGATAAATAAAAAAGTATACCAGTTTAATTTAAGGACCAAAAAATTGACAGCTGTGCAAAATAGTTGGGAAGAGATTTTCGATGTACTGATTCCATGGCACATGGTTTATGAACTGATACACAAAACAACGCCAGATTCAAATCATAGAATTGTTCAATTTAAATTATTATACAAAATTATTGCAACCAATAGAATGTTATATATATGGGGGATACAACCATCCAAGCTCTGCAGATTTTTCTGCGAAGAGACTGAATCATTAGATAATTTGTTTTGGTACTGTCCATATGTAGCTTGTTTTTGGTCACAGGTCCAGGAATGGTTGAAGAA